CCCCAGGCAACGTCGACTTTTCGTCGGATCGATCGCGACGCGAACGACGAATCCGAAAAGGAGTTCACTCGCGGATCGTCGTCCCTGACACTTCACCGCGGCCTTTCCTCACTCCTTCATATCAGACATCCTGTTGACTGAGCGCCGATTGCGTGTACCGAGTATCACCGGATGCCCTTTCAACCGTAGAAGCTGAGGGATGGACGATGAAGGAGAGCGGGTGCTTTAATAGCGAGAGATATCGACGGTCACTGTGTTATACAGTGCTATCCAAAATTAAATTCTGACGAAAAGCGCAAAAGAGTATAACTAGATAACAAAATTTTGTTTTTTAATCGATTTCAGCTACGTTTTATCTTCAAAAAAATTTAATTGACGGTTCGAGCGTCATTATTATTTTTTAATACAAAATTGGAAACTTGCTAAAAATAACGGCAAATAATGTTTCTTTAGCGAAAAATTTCAGCTAACAATTTCTCCTTCAGCTATAAATTTCTCGTAGATTTTGCAGAGAAAATGTTATAGGATGAGTTACAGTGCTTCTGGAACAAATTATATACAACGGGATATGCAGGGGATGTGATATAATTCTGCCTTTTCTATCATCATTTTCATTTCTTCGCGTCTCTCCGTTATTATTATTTACTCTGCTATCTATATAATGCATTTTTAGTAAAATGCGCAATTCTTCCTTGCTTTTTGACATAAATACTCATTTTTTTCATTATGTTTTCTCCTGTGAGTAAAGAACAATCAGGTTAATGGATAATAATGAAAGAACAGTTGATATACATATAAAAATGACAATTAGTCTCTTATTGCATTGTTCTGCTGATATAACGTTCTGATATCTAACGTTTTACGGAAAATTAGGATTATGAACTGAATATCGTAAATTAGGATTAAAGGCTGAATGTTGCTGAAAGGTTTATACCATATGAGTTTACAACGTTGTGAAAGGAGCACACATATTCTCTTACGTGTGATATGAATATAATGCATAATGAAAATTAACTATTGTTCTCCGCTTACTTACATTAAAGATTAATAACATATATTTACGTGAAGATAGATATCTCTGTAACATTTCTATTAAAGCTATGATTAAATTACATGTTATTTAATATAAAATCAGGTCGACGATATCACAACTGGAACTGCTTGATAAATGTGATAACAAAATAATTTTTCAATGATAAATTAAACATTGTTACGCGGTTATTAAAAATGACACATGTCCGTTTAATGGTCGTCATAAAATTTCATTAAATAAGCACAAATATAAATTTTACTGATGGCATACGATTATTTTTTTCTATATACGTTTAACTTATTTAGTAAAAATTCCCGGTATCATTAATAAGTATTTAATATTTGCGTGACCCGGTCGCTAGTCGTCCCTTCGTGTAGCAATTGTAGACGATTAACCTTCTAGGGAAGGCTTGGCGACCACAGCGATGCGTGCGTCGTAAGGGGATGAAAGTTAACAACAACAACAACAACAACAACAGCATGATCCATTAGGTTTAGTGCGCAAAGCCTCACATTCAGCCGTTTTCTACTTAAGCGGATACACCTGTTCGACATGCCACTCGTGCATATCGACGCGAAATGTATCGTACGCGAATTGATGCGTTTATTGGAAGAATAATAAAACGATCGTTTCAATATGCGCGAATTATCCCCTTGTTCGTAATAATTATATAATTTTAATAATTGTGCCGATATTATCTTTTATGTTAATTATATCATATTCTAACAACTTTAACATATTGAACGCGAGGTATGAGGTAACCGGTGACCTCAGCCGTAATACTGATGTGTCAGCCGACAATTAACAAACAAGTATTTAGAAAATTATATTTATCGTAAATAAGCTCATTAAACAAAAATTAATTAAAATTTGTTTCGCAATTTACGTGCCAATAATTACGTTCTATTTTATATAATTATTTAAAGTTGATAATTTCAGGGAGCTAATAGTTACAACTGAAAATAAAAATAAAACCAAATTTTTCTTTAAAGGCTAAAAGCAAACTAAAAATAGTAGATTATTTTTGAGAAAATTTTTGACGTTAAATATCTACGAAGAAGACTTATTTTAACCAGTTTGCTTTCGTGGAATGCATACTCGACGCCGATAGAACGCTCATCTCGAACGGAATGCACGAGTGTCCGTCATCAGTCCGCTTCCTTCGCATTAGCGAGCGATGACGCTCGCCAAGATCGCTAGGGTTGCACGCTGGAGCGAGAGTACAGTGGAGGCCAACCGTTTATTGATCGAACACACTCCGAACACGTTTGCGAGAAGCAGATAACGCAGAAGGTTTCTCGCGATCCGCCTGTCAAAACCACAGAGTTTTTAATGCGCGGCATTAGCCCCCCTCGCCCGTTTCCCGCCGGAGAGATGAGACATTACAGGTGCTCGCGGCCGTTTGTGTAAGCACATGGAAAGGCTAAGAGCTACTCTCTCTGCTCGCAGACGCAGACTCGTCGATATCCCGGCGCTGGTACGCGAGATTACGCCGGCGTGATAGATCGTTATTATGATACACCGTCATTTCACGAGCTATCGTACGCGGGGCGTAATCTATCATGCGTGCGGCATGAGCTGCGTAGATTCTACGACTTCATGTTTAATTCGGGTCGGGAAGACGCTCCTAAAATATTGATTCGTAACGGCACGAACGTTAGAAAGATTCCCAATTGACGTTCGAGGAAAGATGTTCCTTTTACTAATGCGTCGAATTTGAGACATTTTAATAAACTTTAGCAGATGTTTCTGTTATTTTAGCGTTTCACTTCGCGCAAGGTGTTATATCCTCTTTGTCGAAACGACAAGATTATAAAAGTTATTTTAGCCGCTGGGTGTAAAAGTAATATGCGCAGAAAGGATTATCGTGATTGAAATTTAAATTAAATTTTCATTAAGAATCCAGTTCAAACTAGGCAGGTGAGAATTCGTGCTGTTAAAGCTTAATTCGCCAAGTCTCCCGAATCTCCGCGATACACAGTTCGCTAACTACATCTATAATGAGATTTTGGGTTAGATTAAATGGAAATGCTCTTTTGGGAGCACTTCGGGAGCCTAATGGCAGATTGATCCGCGAGCAGACGAATCGAGGTGTGTCGATTTTGTCGCTTTCATTAGGCTGATTACTTCCCAATCTCTGACAGCTGCGAATATATCCTGAAGAATCATCCGGTTAAAATCGAGATGTACGGAACCGTTCCCCGTTCGCGTGATAAGCGGCGATCGATTTATTTCTAGCGTGCCAATTTTCCGCGCCAGGTCGCACCATTTATCGTCCGGCCGTTGTAAAAAAGCGAAGGCCGTGTATGCATACAGACAGGTTCAAGTTCACATGTCACACCGCCGTCCACATATTTTCGGACGGTTGTCGCGATGTCATTTTTAAACTGTCAAACGATCGATTCGCCGTAATTTAGGCGCGAGTCATTCTCGGCGGGGGCCTATAATTAATTGGGCGCAACAAGTAGCACTGTAAAGAATTTCAAACGGATTGCGGCGGTTTCTTTTCTAATTGCACTTCTTACATTTACCCCCTTCGAGAAGGTCGTCGGCTTCGCGTGTAACTAGATGTCGCGTGTAACCCGTTCACAAATAGCTGTCTGCACGCGACGCTGATGAGCATGATGTAGTAGCGTGAAGATCAGCAAATTGAGGGTGAAATATAAATCGCGGCTTTTACCGGGAAATCGATTGACGTCGTGACTTATCCTTGCGGCGCGTTTCGCACGCATTCGATTTATCATAAGAATAGCGTGCTAGCCGCATTCTTGAGATTTTCATCATGTCTTAAGGTGTAGTAAGCGAGTAAAGGAGATACTGGATAACGATTTCCGAATAGTAAAAGTGAGAGCTGTTGTGAAAGGATTGATAAAGATTATTAAGAAATAAAAATTGAAGAGTTATGCCATAAATATGTACATAAAATTTATATATAATATAAATTCTGTTTCATATTAAGCCAAAAATGTGATATTTACATATAATAAATTAAGCATTAACAATTAATTAATTATTTGCATGCGATTAATGAATAATTACATTTATACTCAAATATCACAACTCGGTTCAAAGCAGCAACTACTGATAACTACTAATTTTATATTGCGCTGTGTCACTTGCACATAAATCCAAATTATCAAATCTGATTTAGCTTCATATTGAATTATACGTTAGCACTTGTGTGTCGCGATGTTGAAGAATTGGAATATTTGAATGAATTGTGGGAACGATGGTCGAATCGTAATACTTTATTAATGTGTACTTGTCAGCGACAGTTTTTCACGCGCAAAGATTAGAACCACGCGATTAGATATGACAATGTGATTCAATATAATCACGCAACTTGTCTATTTGACATATGCATATCAAGACGCGCGCTGCGCGAGAACCGCGATGTTTAGGCGATAGTCACTTGGCAACGATAATCGATGTGTCGATTAGCGGTGAACTGAGTCTCATCGATCGACACCAGCGGAAACTGCGAATTGCCGGAATGAGATCATCGTTCTGTCAATTATCATTCATGATTGCGCTCTTAACAATCAAATCATACGATTATTCGACAGATACATGAGAATTTTCTTAAACACGATCTTGTACTTCTGTCATCACGTGGCCTTTTCTGCCGCATTTTAACATTTAATAAATAATTTTCACGAGCAAACTGGCAGTGAAAATTATTTGTATGTTGCGAAAATTGAAAGTAATTTATTTGTAATGAAAATTGTAAATGCTTTAATTACGGTGAGTAGATTAGGAAAAGCTGTTAACGCAGAATGGCGCGCAAAATGTTTCCAATATATCTCGCACACTTTTCAAACGACATTTCCAATATATATTTAAAGATTCTCTTTTATGTTAGTTTAACGTAGTGATGCGTAATCCGCTTGCAATCTGTTATCCTTAATTGGCGGGGAAAAATGAAAAATATCATGCACATATCGATTTTCCCTTAACAAAGACTCACGTGGTTCGAAAGGGTGAGCATGATGGTGATCCTTCTCAACTGCATCACGCTAGGGATGTACCAGCCGTGCGTGGACGACCAGTGCGTAACGAATCGATGTAAGATACTGCAGGTACGTACTTATCTCGCGAAACGCGCCAGCCGGCTGGAAGAAGCGGATAATCCGCGTTATCGGATTTGAAGAAGCAGAGCGTACCGGGCTTATTTGACTGAAAGCCATTTCCACAAGAAATGCTACCGCGATCCACCGCCTCGCATTTGTACGCTCGCACGCCTGAAAAGCAAGTCCGATATCGTAATCGGAATATTTACGATTCTATTACGTCAGCTTACACGGCGGAATCGCGGTGTAACAATGGTGATTACACAGCGCCGCCGATAAGCGAATTAATCGATTGCGCATCTTGACACGGATTCCGGCCGGCTCGCAATTAGTCTAGCGAGAAGGGGGAAGGAGACGGGAGACGGGAAAGAGATGAGAAAATTACTGACACGGCGTGGCCGTTAATCGAATCGCCTCGGTAGAGTGCCCTTAATCAATCACGGCGAATTACGTACACCCTGTCTAATCAAGTCGACGTTCGCCCGCCTAATTCTTCCAGATGTTCGATGATATCATTTTTGCCTTCTTCTCCCTGGAGATGACCATAAAGATGGTGGCGATGGGAATTTACGGTAAAGGAACTTATCTCGCGGATTCCTGGAATAGATTAGACTTCTTTATAGTACTGGCTGGGTGAGTACTTCGTTTGTACACTTGATTATACCTTTTGATTTGAGTTGATTCTCTCTTTAAGGATTTACGAAATTTACGAGAATTTGCGCGATAATCAATGTATGACAACTTTAACAATATTAATCTTTTTATATAATAATTCATAAAATTTGTTAAATAAAATTTTTTATTCATAATATTATATATATATTTTTTTCCATTTAGATGATTGTGGAATAAATTAATATAATTCTTTAAATTCTCATGTGAAATCAATACTAAATGAATTAAGTTAATTAAATGTATTTTATGACGCACACAGATCGCGTGAGATATTATGTATTATTTAATTATTAAAAGACTATTGTGATAAATTATGTTATTGGGTAAAATATGTTGAAAGAGCTTAAAAGTGGAAGACAATTCTAAAGAAGAATCTATTTGATTTGGTTCGGTTATAGCGCTTTGGAATACTGCCTAAACGTGGAAAATATGAATCTGTCAGCCATACGAACGATAAGGGTTTTAAGGCCGTTACGAGCGATCAATCGAATACCAAGTAAGTACGAGACCTTCGTGAAACATCAAAAATTTCGATGCTTGACGGTTAACGTCGGTTTGCTTTCGTTGTCGATTTCACGGTGCATTGCCATGAGCACATCTCTGGTCTATAGATCGCGACGTATTCGCAGTTGATTTCATCTTGAAATTGAAACGAAGCGGAGGCAGAGAAGTATACGTAACCATATCAACCATGAACAAGTAAAGTTGGCAAGAAGATACAGATATTAAATCGAAATTCAAGGTTGAGTTGCATCAGCGTGAAATGTGTACAGCGTACAAGTTGTTCTGGAACTTTAATAAGAGATTCTTGTGTATCAACGTTTATAATGGTCTATATTTTATCTTAATATCAAGATTTTCAAGCCAAGATTTTCCTTATAAAACGGACTTTTTAAAAAGAACTTGGAATTTAATAAACAATCTCATATGAAATCTCAGCGGGATATTATTCTTTTCAAATTCGAATATCAACGATTGAAACATTTAATATTAGATATTAAAAAGTTACTGAATAATGGTTTCACTAGAAGCATCTTTTCTAAATAAATAGACTAAAATCTCGTCAGTTTGCTTGACATTATAATTAAATTTAGAAAGTTTTGGTCACGCTGCATATAATATTGTCAAGTTGCCACGAATATGTATAGAAAGTAAGAATAAAAATAGTACCGAGCAATTCCAGTATATCTGTGGAAGATTCGTTTTGCTGTTTTGGTTCAAAGAACTCAATAAATTGATCGACAAGGTTCACTGCATAAAACGTTATTTTTACGAAATCTCCGACAGGTATGCGGATACTGGTGATGCTGCTGCTCGACACCCTTCCTATGCTGGGCAACGTCTTGTTACTGTGCTTCTTCGTCTTCTTCATATTCGGTATCGTCGGTGTGCAGCTGTGGGAGGGAATACTGCGCCAGCGTTGCTTCCTCAAGGCCCTGCCCAACATCAAGTATCCCGAGTAAGTCGGCGAGAACCTGGGTCGGCCTACTCGTTGACTATTTTTATGAATGTTCGACTTCGAATTTTTCTCGTTATTGCGCCTCACACTGCATCGCATCTCATATTTTTTTTTCCCTCCTCTGTCTGTCTTTCGATCGCTGTGCAGTTTAAAAGCGCAACGCAGCGCGCGGCACCGCGATACGGTAAAACATGCGGAATTCAATGACTCACATACGATAATCGTTGTTGTTGAGATTTTTCGCGATACTTCGAATACGGTAAACGGTAAAATATATTTCAGTGATAAGAGATTATTATTCAACCGCGACAATTTTTACTTAATAAGTACGAATTGCATTGTAAAAATTGCGAATTTAGATGAAATCAACGTTTGCCATGTCCATAACACACTCTCGCACAAAGTTTCTATTTTCAGCGCTTTTGCAATAACATACGTCGAGTACGGTAAACGCTACGCTCCTGTGTGCGAAATAACGTGGGAATGGAAATTCTCATTTTACATTTCATTAGGGATATTAACGTTTACCATATTCAAAAAACACACTATTGCACAAAGTTTCTATTATTCTAAAACACAGTTTTTTGCCAGAATTTTTGCTTGGACGTATTGTCTCGATTTGACAATCGCCTGCAGTTTGTTTTCATCGCGTAAAGCGATCGTTATTGTGCCGGGTTCCTCCGGGATTTTCGTTATGGGATTTACGAGGGTGCGCGAATGCGATAGTCAAAAGGTCCGAGAGCGCGGTGAACCGACCGCAGATGGTTGTACACGCGATTCAGCATCGAGTAGTAAATGATTTGTTCGTGCGGTTCGATCGCGCGAGGACCCAACCAGTCCGATATATCCAGATTGCATGGCGAGTAGTTCGAGTTGTCGCAAAGCAGCATCGCTTGCCGAATTTTTCTCGCTGTAAATTTAACGCTCTGCTCTCTTACTCCTCTCGCTCTCTGTCTTTCGCCAGTACTTCTCTGCGCCAGTATTTTACTCTCAATCCGCTTGTACCAGGCATCGATATCTGTCCGTAATACAATGCAAACTCCGTGACTCGCGTTTACTCCGCTCGGCTTATCACAAAACCATCCGCAAGATATCACTCTCTCGGAGCTGATCACGGAAACGGATAATTAAACACCTAATGTTTACGTATACATTGTTACGTTTATCACAAATAATCCTACGAAAGTAACACGTAACACGTAACTGGTATCTGGTACTTTTTCTTTTTACAGTTTTTACATTTTTTACTTTTTTTTGTAGAAATATTTATTGCGCCTCTAGAGTCTGTGCGATATATATTAAAAAGATACATTTTTTTAAACAATACTTTGTAATTTTTTATAGCTGATTTGGAAACTTAAGTGCATAAATTAAAGGCTTGACGCACAACAGGCTGTAAGCGTCAGCTATAAAAGTTCCAAGAGAAGACACTTTTCTAAATAATATTCAACTATTTTAAAGAGTGCAAAGAATAGCTAATCTTCACATCTTCTTCCTACATTAATCTTATAATAAATAATCTTATAAATATAGCATCCATGTCGCCTTTGCTATTAACCTCGACACATAGAATCGATTCTTTTCAATGAGAAAATAGTTTTAAGAATGAACTTGAGAAATTATTTTAAAAATGTAATACTTACAGCAACTTTTTTTGTCAAGTCTTTAAATGTCGATTTGAAACTGTGTTGGCGCGTTTTAGACGAGAACAATATGGGTGGCGAAAGGAACAGAGGAAAAGTTCGTGAAAAGCTCTGGATGGATCAGTATGTTCTACTTCCTCAACTTTCGCTTTAGAGGAACATCACGTTAGGCAATCTGTAAAATGCTCTAAAATTCTCCTCTCTCTTTCTTTCTCTCACTCTCTTTCTCTTGCTCTTTCTATTCCTGTCCCTCTCTCTTTTTCTCCTCGTGACTAAAAAGAAACTAGACATGTAAGTACATGACTCCCAGGGAGGCAGTGACAGGCTATTGTTTCGCTGTTGCAGGTTACTCTGGAACGAGTACTCGGTTCGATCACGCATTTAGTAAGCTCTAGTAGAGAACAATGTGCTGTACATACATATATATTTCTCTCTCTCTCTCTCCCTCTCTCTCTCTCTCTCTCTCTCTCTCTCTTTCTCTCAATAATACATACCTGTATGAATCACAGAGTATATATACACGTGTCATCCAAATGTACATATATGTATATACATGCAACCATACGTGATGTGCATATGTATCTATTATCTCTCTCACTCTCTTCCCGTTCTTCCCCCTTCTTTCTCCCTCTCACTCTCTTCTTCACTCTTCTCTTAACCACTGTACCAGTGTGCGTCTGTACCGTAGTGTGTACTCACATAGAGCATGACGACTCGGCCGAATGACGAATAAAATACTGTTTTGGGTGCTACTGGCTGTCAATCGAGGATGGTTTCAAGATCCCCGTGCGAGAAGCGTGAAATCAACCCTTCTGAAACGTCGAAATAGTATTTTACTGTCCGGGGCTACTTCACCGATCGTCTAGCGTTAGCACCAACGTTTCTCTGTGATACGGCCTGTTGTATACACGATGATGGAGGAGAGAGTCCGCAATTTGTCGGCGACTCGAAACTTCCGACGCTTCCACGCGATTACTGCGCTCCGACACTTCAGGATCTCCTCGGTTACTTCGATGCACGAGTCGATGTTCTTACCCCTCTCTCTCTCGCTCTCGCTCTCTCTCTTCCTCTCTCTGCTCTGAATACACACTCCTGATATGATCTCGTGTGGCTCGCCTCTTACTCTCTCACATTCACTCCTTCTCTCTTTTGTGCCACTCTATTTTGTCCTCTCTCAGCGTGTCTCTAGCCGATAAGCGGAACGACGCTTTCTGCATATGTGGACTATCGTTTAAGCAACTGTGTGTGGCATCGGTGGTCTCTGTGGTTTCACTACATCGCACCGCTTTCACGATAGTGTAATTCCGTTGTACGGGGTGGTCCTGAACACCGTGTTTCGTGCGCTAAATAGTGGAATTTTTGGAGCAATTTGAAGTTGATATTAGACTTAATAATAGATTATTTATTTTCAATTGTTTGCGAATGAAGAATAATTCAGCATTTTTTTAAAGATCAGCTTTACATTTCTCGAAGAATCTTACTAACTGGGTTATGGACGCGTGTATTGCTGGGCGCTCTGTGCATCGGTGACGTTACGTCACTATAAACCGAGTCAAATTTTAGATTTTCACGTATTCACAGAACGTTTCGCTCCCGTTCGCTGGAACGTCGAACACGATTGCGACCGGTTGAAAGAACGGGAAGCTTCGGTCGTGCATTTTAAGATCCACCGTCCTAGATGCATACTTGCAATTCTTGTCTCGCGTATGCGCGCACGTGTGCCCTTCCGACAACGGAGTTTTGTTTCAATTCCTCCAACTTGCATAGCGCGATAGCGTAGCGAGAGATGTAGGCTCCATAAGGCTCGAAGCCCCAAGCCCAGAGAGCTAATTAAACGCGCGGTGCTCGCGCGGTCTATTCCGGTATACGTAGCAGCTATTTTCGAACGTTTATCGACTTCTGCACCGGCGTTACTGCCGTTCCCGCGCTCTGGTGTAGCGCAGCGCTGGAGCCTCTGGCCCTGGAAGCGATATCAGCTCGTAATTCTTGAGCAAGTCAAGTGCGCACTTGTTCTTAAAAGAATATCCACGTATCAATAAAGCTAAAATCCTCGGATTGCGTTTGATCACGGTTATTTCCGTGTTCCTGCGCGTGACATCTTCGTGGCCAGTTTCAAAAATCTCCTCGCAGTCTTATATTTCATGTGTTTCTTTGTAAATTAATTTTTGCACCGAGATATAAGTACGAATACAAGTTTGTCGTAGCGACAAAGCGAAACTTTATGGAGATTGTGCGGTCATACGGGATATATTGTTTAAAAGTAGGACATCTGGTCACCTTATAAATATATACGAGAGGATCTAGAGCGACGGCACGATCAGCACAGCCAGCACAAACGAGTGAAGCACGTCTATGCCGCGCTATGACACGCAAATTAAGGAGAGCACAAGCGATCACGTGCACACTGCCGATTAAGCATATGTAGCGTGCGTTTAGATAATATAAAATCATGTCGCATTATTTAAAAAAGTACAACATAATAACGCAATATTCCTCTATCGCTCAATTTTTTTCTATTCGATTAAATTGTATCATGATGTATTTTGCACGAAAAATATAAAATTCATATAAATAAAAAATATGATATTTTACGACGCTGTCATAAAATTGAAAAATATCAATGCGAAGCAATGTGAAATCAATCATTTATATTTTACCGCGAAGACAGCATTATCAATCACGAAGATGTCCGGGAATTCAAAATAAAAGACGACATATCGTGATAGAGGAATATAATCGAGCTTGAAGAAAGATAGCATAGTATTTTCCCACCCCAAAGAGACAACATCAAATAGGGAAACTAGGTATTTTCAGTAAAACTTGAAACATTATTTATCCTCGTTTCATGCGTTGAGGATTACATCCGCACATGAATGCCATCGGTGTTTCATTTTTCCGTATTGTCGTTACACGGCTCTTAAAGTGTATGTAATTGTAATAATATTAAATGATTACTTATCATATTGTCATTCATATTAAACGATCGCAACATTGCAGCCATTCGAAGAGTTCGATATTTCTTTCATATAATACTGTATTAGTGTGTCTTACAATCTTCAATTAGTTAGAAACTTCATTTTTCGATATCCGTGATATTAACGACGCGATACTGCGATCTTCGTGTGAGGAAAGTTAATTGTGTTTCTTTTCCGCCGACTATTTTCGGCGTAATACCAGCCGCGTGCACGCAAACTCGTGTCGGTATCTGCATTTGCCTATATCTCTCTCAATCGTTGCGCACGTACGTTGTACATCAGCATCTATATGTGTACATATACTATACGAGGTGTCCGAGAATCTCATCGGGCGAGCTGTCAGACCAGTGGTATAAACAGGGTCGAAAGTGTAAGCACGACAAGGCCGACGGGGAAACGCGCCCGATTTTCCGCGCGGTGCACGCTTTATTCGAAGCAATCTCGGAGTGAACGGTATGTTAAACACGTATCGATTTGTTTTGCGTACCAATGCCATAGCCGCGTCACGCTGACAATGATTTGCGCGGCGTAGGTCGTTTACGATTAGCCTTCATTCGAATGCATATACCTTCGGAACCTATAGCTCGAAGCCTACTTCGATCGATTGCATTTACATATTTTCGGTTCGAGTATCCATTTACGCAAGAGAAGCCGCACTGGAAGCTCCTCCGGTAATATTTCACGAGACACTCTGTATATTATATATACCATGAATATATGAATATATATATATATATATACATATATAAAACGATTCACTGGAAACCGTCACCTAAAGTAATTTATGATTTACAATTTGGGGCATAAATTTTTTTATTTGAGAAATGTGTTGGAGTTTGAAGTCAAAATAATATTGTAGTGTATTGTTGAATGATTTTTTTCATTTTTAGCAACATGACACTGAAAGAAGATGTCGTTTAAAATGCAAAGTTACCTTGATATCTCCGAAAATACAAGGCGTACCAAAAATAAGATTCGCTGGCTTGATGGATTATTTAGAACGCAATCTATTCTATTTCAATAGGTCCCCTTAAATCAGTAAATAAGAAGTTATTTTAGATGACAGTTTAAGTGATTTACTCTGTATACATATATGTATATACGCTATATATACATATTATATATATATTTTATCAAACACTGCATATTTACATATAATGTACGCATAAGCGAAGAGCATGCGAGGAGTGCATCCGTGCATAATGAGGCATATGTCGCAAGTCTCTAAACTTAAGGATCTATGCGAGCCACGTGCATAGATCGATTTAATCGTTGCTTCGTTGATTTTCCAGCGATCTGGAGAAGTATTTCGAGTATCAGGGTCAGGATTACATTTGTTCGCGTCCCGACGACAGTGGGATGCACTCCTGCAGTAATCTGCCGCCGCTTAAGTTAGGTGAGTGCATTTTCTGTCGTAATAAAATTTCATATCAATATAACAATTTAATATAATAAATACTTTAAAATTCCAATTATTTGACATTTAATACTTTCATATGATTTAATCTTCTTATACAAAAGGTTTCAAACGCCATAATCCAGATGTGTTTTACACAAGACGTTCCTAAGTTTAACTTTAATTATAGGTTTAATAAATTTAGAGTCAAATTTTCTTTCAATATTTTAAGTCTGTCGCTTATTTTTATCTGTCACGACTTTATTATTTGATCAAACGGATCGACGTTTTTCGCATTCAGGGAACGTGGTGTGCAACAATACCGCTGTGCCAAACAGTAACGTCACCTTCATCAACAATGACACCTGCGTTAATTGGAACTACTACTACACCGAGTGCAAGGGTCAGGGCAACAATCCATTCCAAGGAACAATTTCATTCGATAACATCGGGTCTCGCTTGGGTCGCCATATTTCTTGTGAGCGTTTATTCGTTCTACATTCGTACAGAAACAAATAATTCATACGTATACGTACTTATATGTACGGACACGTGGCATGAAATATTTCCCCCATTTGAGTAAAATACTTCCGCGGCGTCAGAAAGCCGGTGAATGCGAATTGCGCACATTACTCTGCGACAGTGTCGTGAGAAAAATTATTGACGATATTAAAGACAAATTGCTTTCCATTTGATAAAATATTATCAGAATTGAGTGATGGACTAGCGATAATGTTTCGTGTTTTTAGATCATAAAAATGTACAAAACTTTATTCGCGATGTATATCTTTCAACATGTCTGTAGCATGACTTTTCCAAATAAATTTTATCTGATCTTTTACGAAAATTAAGTTAATTGATTAATTAATTTAGACGTAGATTTCTAATATGTTTGATACATATAAATTTATTCGTTAATTATTCTGTCACATTTGTCACTATTTCGCCGTAACGCTGAGTAGTGCAATCATGTTGATTTATAGGTAATTAGTTTGGAAGGATGGACGGACATAATGTATTACGTGCAAGACGCCCACTCCTTCTGGGACTGGATATATTTCGTCCTCCTGATAGTCGTAAGTCCATTTCCTCCCAATTGCACGGTGTGAGCGCAATATATATAAAATATATATAAAATATAATTCGCTTATTTTCTACATTCTCATTTTTCACGGACACTGCTTTCCAGAAGAAGACTCCTACAATGCAAATAGTAGCCGTTGTGATTATTAATCACGCTTTTCATATATACAATCTAACAATGGTCAAATTGTGATTTAATTTTGACACAAATTTGAAATATGAATGTGGAGTGTTACGAAATACTCGAGAGACTTGGGGACTAAAGAAGAATCTGCGTTTGCAGATCGGCTCGTTCTTCATGATCAATCTATGCCTGGTCGTAATCGCGACGCAATTCTCGGAGACGAAGAAGCGGGAGATGGAGAGGATGCGATTGGAGCGCGCGCGCTACCATTCGACCTCGACGCTCGCGTCGTCCACGAATACCTCGGAGCCTACTACTTGTTACGCCGAAATCGTCAAGTGGGTACTCGTCGCTGTTGCGCCTCGAGAACGTCTCGCGCTCATTCGCGGCACCCGCGTCGTCTTATCACGGCTGCGGGTGTGACAACTTAACGTCTCTTTTCAGATACATCGGACACCTCTGGCGACGGGGTAAACGAAGACTGATGAAGAGGTATCGCCTGTGGCTGTACAGGAGACAGCAGAAGCGGGAGCAGAATCTGCTCAAAGAGCAGCAGAGCCAGACGTTCCGCTCGAATGCCACCGCTGTCGGACCGAATCGAGTGCCGGGCGGTAAGTATCTTTTATCTTGCGGTACAGCGTTGGAATTTTTAGTGAAAAATGCTTCAAGCTTAAAAAGATTAACCAAGGAACTTAGAATAAAATTCCTCAAAATCCTACGTTAATATTGACCTCGACTCGAATTCTCGAAATCGATGCATATCCAGATAGAAGACTGCATCATGGAAGGTGTCCGCGACTTCTCGCTGCGCTGGAATACGCGGAGCAGCAACAGCAGCAACAACAGCAATTGCAAGTAACTGGCAATGGAAACGGCGGATCTGTCGCTGATTTCGCCACGATCACACCTCTGGTGCAATCGACGGTGGCAGTCGCGACGCCTACGACCGGCGGTAATAGCGTCGGTGGCAGCGGAAACTTGGGTACTGCGCCGCGCGCCAGCCCCGAGATTTCCGAGGCCGAGGCTTCTGCAAATATGTGCCACAGATTGAGCGTACATCGCGCCTCCTCCGTGTCCTGCAACGGAAATGACAACGCCGTCGTCGGAAATCCAGTCGAGGCAAGTATATCACATACAGTCATGCATGCGAGAACACGTCACGAGATCTTTTTATGCATTGAAGTCAAGCGGCGTAATCGAAATTAGATAAATTAGACAAAGAAATAATTTTCCAATAATAATTTTTAAATAATTATTTAATTCATTTAATTATAATTAAATCGTTAAAAAAGAGAGGAAGTAAGTATTAATTTTATTATTGGAAAATTATAACATTACTTTGTTTCTCAACTGTTTCTCACACACGTCACTCGAGTCTTTACTTTCTAAGAATGTTACGACTTTGATTCTCGTAGACAGCTCTAGATAAGCGATGATATCTTAGATTGACTCGTTTAGCGCTCTTCCCGTTCAGTTATTCTCTTCGCTGATATTTGTCTTTCGCTTTGTACCGGTAGTAGTGGTATCGCATAGCGATCAGACATGCTTCGCATGTAGAAGAACATTATATAGCGTTTACGTTTCATAGTATTAGATCGGTACTTTTATCTCCGGTAATAAAAAGTACGTTCGAATATAGATGATTTAGGTACGACGAAATCGTGCATAAAGTTTCTTCCCTTAATGCTACAAGTTTGGGCCGAGAACGGTTACGAGAGAGAGCGCCGGTTGTAGTTTGTAACACGCATAATGTATGCTTGATTATCGCCTTTTAGACGAACAGCACGTTGTTGAGTCCACCATGTACGCATTATCGGAGAAGAAGCAGCGTAATGTTTAGCGACGTGGTACTGCTCCATGGCAGCAATAATGTCGGGAATGCGTTGCAGCCGGGGACGGTGATGCCGGGCGAACGTAACGTATGCTCGAGCGAGAAGATGACGCAGACGGGCGATGGTAACGTTTGGTCCAGTCCGCTGCCGGACCACGTACAGGTAATTTTCACTGCCACGCTACATGCAGATCGATTTCCCGGACTTGGCGCGTGCATTTTTATTATAATTAATTGCGGTTTCATTAAAAACATCGGCTATTTTTTTCATTCGATTTAAGATACAATTTGTTTAATAATTATTAATTTGTGATAACTGTGTTAAATATTAATTTCTCTCAAATAAATTGTTTATCGAAAAACTAAATAATCCACATATTGTATAAATACGAGTATATTTTTATATTGTTAAGTTTGAAGAGATTGTATCGTGAATCGAATAGCTTCTGTCTTTCTTATACAAGATATGTATCGTCGTAGATGCAAGCCGAACTTGGTGGCAACGAGGCCATGACGTGTCAGGAGTTGCTGGCTCTCAGCGGTGCTCTCAGCGCTGCCCTACCCACCGGTCAATTAGCCCTCGATTCGTTTCTAAACTCTCTTACGAAAGGCAAGTTCATACCTTTTATACGACGAATTCGATTTATCACTTAATTGCAAATTTTAAAAATTCCTTGGATTTTTTAATATAAAAATATCATTACATACATTCCTGAAAAATATCGAAATTAAAATATTTGAAGTGATAAAATTTTGTAATAATAATATTAAATTTTTTAAATATTATTAGTCCTCTGATTCCTAAATGCTTTCGAACACATCCGTGATGTTTGAAATCCTTTTAACGGGAAATGATAAACTCGGAAACCTTGGAAATAATAAACGGCTGAATAAAACTGTTTGCGTCAAATAAAAAGAGAAGAGAGAAATGTGAGAACGAATCAATGGGTGTTCAACAGGTATAACAGATCGTCACATCACGCTGGAGGACCGCACGCAGTGGTTAACATCCGACGTTGATAATTGTTCCTGTTGCTGCGAGCTGCAGGGTGGCGAACAGTGGCCGGAAGACGGCGAAAAGTGGCAGAAGATCTCGCGGGCGAGACGATTTTTCGGACGCTCCGTGAGCTGCTGCATCTGCACGCTGCGCTGCATGAGGCGGTGGATCAAGAAGCTTGTCGAGCACAAATACTTTCAGCAGGGTATTCTTCTGGCGATCCTCATTAACACTATGAGCATGGGAATCGAGTATCACAATCAGGTGACTCCTCATTCGATTTTAAGTATCACATTTCACATTCTCCCGTTGCGATATGATTATTATGTTACTTTCCTATTAAATTTCCAAGTTTGGCGATACTTTCTGCAAAGTAGAAGCTATTACGTATAATTACTGTAATTATTCTGCGCCGAGTACTCTTTAGCTTTCGTGGCCCCTTTATTGCTCCGTGAAGTGTAATTACAATTATCTCGTTGCGTACATGCAGCCGGAACAATTAACAGTGGCTGTTGAGATAAGCAACATTGTGTTCTCGGCAATCTTCGCGGTGGAAATGTTGCTTAAGGTAATAGCGGAAGGCCCGTTCGGTTATATCAGCAACGGCTTCAATGTCTTCGACGGTATCGTCGTCGTCCTCAGGTAAGATAATTTCCTTCGTAAACTTTTTATCTCTTCTTATTTTATATAAACAATACAGTGCTAAATATATTGGCACATATTATGTTATAAGATAACAGCGATGTTTATGCACAAATAGCGTCGAATGAACGCTACTGCAATATTAATACGTTATAAAATGCATCTGCACCGTCGCGTGTATGTCAGCGCGGTCGTTAAGTTTCATAGTCGCATCCGCGTTTTACGAGAAAACTGTTACGGACGGTTATAGCTCTCTCATAAAGCCTTTCGCGAACAAATACGACGAGCTAAGCACTCGTGCATCGCATTTCCAGTGCGGTCGAGTTGTGCCAGGCAGTCGTGGAAGAGCGCGGTGGCAGTTCCGGTCTGAGTGTTCTGCGCACCTTCCGCCTGCTCAGGATCCTGAAGCTGGTGCGGTTCCTGCCCAACCTGCGACGACAGCTCTTCGTGATGCTGCGCACCATGGATAACGTTGCCGTATTCTTTTCTCTTTTAGTACTTTTCATCTTTATATTCAGGTAAGTCGCCGTTCTTATCCTCGTCCGCGAAATTCGACGCCGCCGGAATCCCGGGCGTCGCGCCCGCATCGCCGGGTCTTCTCTCCGTTTTCTTTTCCTTTTTTTTATGTGTGTGCGTGTGTGTGTGTGGTCTTCGTCTACTTCGCGTGTCGGTGTCATTGCCGATGAGATTCGTCCGACGAGTCCGTCCGTTCGATGACCGCGAGGAACCTGATCGACCGAAGCCGCGTATCGCGTTTACACGTCGGATTACCGGGCGCTACCGCGTCTTCCTGTTCTAATTATCACCTCATCAGCCTAGTAACGTTTGCATGTCTGGCAAGGCGGATCGAAGTTACGAAACTGCCGATAGGTATTGTCAAACATATTGAGCAAGCGCTTTGAAATATGAAGCGTCGATGATGACGACACGTATCGCTCCCATAACAATATCGAATATTCTATTTACGCGAAAACCGTGAAAGGGTTCCGATGGTCTTTGTGCGTTTCATAATAATGAGAGAGATATTATATCATTTCCGTCACGGACCGATTGGTAATGAAAACTATGTTTGATAAACAAATTTTATCACTGTCATCTATCGGCTTTATAAACGTAAAATATATCACAGCTTTCGAATTCTTGTAACTCTCTTAAAAATTCTTTTCAGTTGAGGAAAGTCTTTTTAAAAATCTTGAAAGATAACAGTAATCTCTGAAAAATGTTTTATATTTAAAAAATTTCATAGATAATAATGGCTAATTTAAAATACTATATGTCAAATGTAATGATTTCTTTTCTTCTTCTTCATTGATAATTCATTGATCGTTTTGGACTTGACTGCACAATAACACTTGGGTAACAGCGATGCTGATAAAAGTTTCATCGACGCTCGATATTTCGAAAGTAGCTTCTTGCTCGCTTCTACGAGCTTTCGAGCTTCAGGAGCAAATCGCGCGCCGCTGCTCTTCGAGCCGAGGCCTACATTTAGGTGACTGTCTTCCGTTCATACCTTTCTCTTCTACTTTTATTCGCTTTTACTTTATTTCCGCGCGGCGTATGAGCCGCCATCAGTTAATGCATATCACATATATATATATAGAAATTTTCGAAGTTTACCAGCAGTTGTCCCGTGTTCTCGCGTCTCCTAGCGTTTCTTTGAGCGGCATATATTTTCTGACGTTGTTAATGGTAATGACGATGGTATTTGTTGGCACGATCTATTACGGGGGGAGGCCTTCCTGCTGTCGGCCTTCCTCTTTTATGGCTTGAGGCATCGAACGTACTTTCGACGTTTTATCTTAGAAGATATATCTATATATAAATATATATATACGTATATGAATATATATTTACATGTGTGTGCATGATGCTTTTATGCTGGACGTCTTAGCGACGAGTATGAAGGGCTATATGTATATATATATATATCTATTCAGTCTTAATTTATTTTCATGTATTTTCAAGTGAACTTCTCCCGCTGTCGCTCTCTCTTTCTTGCTACTCTGAGCGCCTTATATTAAGTGCGTGCGCCTCGGTGTGGCCCTCGATATTAGAACAGCTTGCGAATGTTCGACATATACCTCTGCAGGATTTATATACATATACTTATATATACATATATATATCTCGTTCATGCTGCGTAGGACTTCCCGCTGTATACATCCGTGCGTTTACGGCGCGTTTTACGACCGTTCGATGGCCGATTTGCCGCCCGCCGCAGCCGCCGCCCTCGCTATTGCGATCTCGATATTGCAACTGATTGCTCGATATCTGCCACAGAGACGTAGACGCGACATTGGCTGTATTCGGGCATGATTCGATTAATTTCTAGCCATATGGTGTCCTGATTATCCTGATTATCCTGATTATCCTGATAAAATATTTTCACGCGGCATTTATAATAAAAACAAAATATCGAGACAAATTTGGAAGAATTAAATTTAGATAATTAAACGCAAAAAATATAAAATTGAAATCTTTTAATCAGTTTATATTTAGCAGCTGTTTGCATCAATTTTATTCAGTTTAATTATTTCAATTGTCATTTTAAAATGTTCATCTAATTGTAATAAAGATGTTTCCCTTAAACAATCATGACATCAAAAGCGCTTTTAGATACTTTTCCGACTAAAATATGTCAAAACTAGTGTTTCATCGTATGTTGAAGTTTCCGTGTAGTCTTTTCGAGAAGTTGTAAAGAAAAAAAGAAACAAGAAGAAATATTCGGCAACGTCGCGCAATTCGCTGACGTAAATTCGTACGATCTTTTCCCGTCCAAAACTCTCTTCAAGGTAAAGCGAACTTTTGAAACCAAATACAAAGTTCTACATATGCAAATACGTTCGCGAATACGTCTCTGCGCGCCGATCCGTAGATACCTCTTCGACGGCCGTTTCTAGGTGTTTGCATCTTCCTTTGGCCGCAAGACGCGAATGGAGTTTCGAAAGATCCGCTTTAGAGGACCTTTCCCGATCGTCTTGTGCGAGCACTAAATAACGGATAGTCACGGTGTACTTGCATCGGGATGGCAAGCAAGATCGCATTTACTCGGCCAAGGTTTCAGATTACGAGATACGACGAAAGTTTATGTCAGCATCGATCCGAAGGCATCTGGTTCTCTCGAGCGTCTCTAAAGATCAGTATCGCCGCGTCTTCTTTTATGAGATACATCGTGTACGCGAATGTGCACTTACTTTATGATGTAAGAATTGCGAAAGGATGTCGTTCCATCGATTCTGTGCTTTCGTCGTATTACGGCTAGATTACGTTGTATATGAAGTGTCACGGAACTGCGATATGCCCGTTCAACCATGACTGGAATATTTAATAATCGTTAGTTATACACATCATAAATATTAAGTGTTATTTTGTGCGGAGCTTTTGCGAATTAATTAATCCCAACAAACTTTACGTAAGAAGATTTTTAATTTAATGCTTTCTATCTTCCTAAGATACTGTTTAAAAATGAAAAAAGTGCTTATGATAGAACCAAGTCCCGTAAAGTTTCTCGTTAAAGAGAATTTGTGGCTGGAGGGACATATTCCAGAAGCTCTGGGACACTTTGTATATATACATTTTGGACTGATTAGCTACTTGGCCGAATCACGCTTTACAAATCGCGATTTCTGTTTTGATCGAGCTTTACCCCTCTCTTTTTCTCTCTCTATCTCTTTCTCTCTCTCTCTCTCTCTTTCTCTGTTTTTTCATTCTTTCTCATTTTATCTCGGTCTACGTATATATATACATATATATATGGATAAGAAAGTACATTGCACGTTTCGTTGTGTTGTAGTATTCTCGGGATGAACCTGTTTGGTTGCAAATTCTGTGAAACGATGAAAGGCAGCTCTGACGTCGAGTGTGATAGGAAAAACTTTGACTCGTTACTCTGGGCTATTGTCACGGTGTTTCAGGTACCTACCAAAAAAAAGGATACTTTTCCACGTATCTTCTCGAGGGCATTTTTGACTTCTCTATATAGTGTATATTATACCTATATATATATTCGTGCATATTAACGTTATCACACCGCATCTACCTATTATATATATATACGCTAAGTACGCTAAGTATACATACGTATACTGTCCACGTTTGATTTATCGATAAGCTAAAGTCGTGCGATCGCAACATGCGTCCGCCTTTATATGATTTCTGAGGCCTCAGGTAACGTATACTGGGAGATAAGAGCTTTTCAGCATGTCGTCATTTTTCTGACAGGGGGAAGGGGGGGAAAAGGCAGGAGGAGAGCTACTGGCACCGGTTTGTTCTAATAAAATATTTAAATATTTCTCCACGAGAAATTATTGTCTCTAATCTTTCATCTTCAATTTTTCAAATTTGTCATATTGTACAATATATTCAATATATCCAATTTATTATCAATGCGCGTTAATTGGATTAGAAAAAAGGATGGCAAGTCTGGCCGGTGCTGGTGGACCACAGACGGAACACACAGGTTGTCTGGTGCGGATTATCGAACGTTGCGCACGATCGCCAGCGATAATCCCGGTGTTTCTCCACTTCTGTCCGTTTGCAATCCGTCCGTCGCTTTACAAACGCAACACGCGGTGTTAACACGCTGCTCGCTCCTACCGTGTCGTCTGCGAGCGCGTCGAGCTGGCTCCCTTCTGGCATGCTTTCACAAGCTGCTTCTCTCTATGTGTTCTCGGCGATGAGCGAAATCTCCAGCACCTTGCGAGCATTACTTCCATCCTGTCATTCGGCGTGCATTTTCAAGTGATAATTATCGAAATTGGTACAGTTTTTGAATGCATTGAAATAAATTATTACAGGATTCGTTTTGCGACTCTTCAAGTGCAGTATTTTTCACAAATATTCGCGATGTCGTAAAGTTATTTTGTAAAAATGATCAGATTTTAAAAAAAGTTGAAGAAGGAAACTGATAAATGTTTAGAATTTTATCGAAATGTCTTGATGCATGTTGCGATGTTTGGAAGCTTAAGATTGTCGTAAGAACAGGCGTTTTCGCTCAAACACCGATAAAGCTTTATCTGTTTTTTAGATGCTTCGCATATTCATTCGCCTATTCCTGTTGTCGGCGTTGTTGATGTAACTTTTGATGTTATATTGATGTTATCAAGATAATTTAGCTTTAATATCCGTTGTAATCTTTGACAACGTAGGAATTTCAAGCCGGTGTAAAAATTTCGCTAATAAAGTTTCAGAGTGATTTCGAACGACGGAATCGAATTTAATCTAATAGAATTCTAATTCCGTACATTCGTCGCATGTCTATGGACGATAAATCCTACGTATGTAAAAGAGGAGTAACAATACACATGTCTGAACGGGATTACAAAAATGTACAAAAGACGTCAAGTTGTCTAGACGACAGGTCGATGTCTTTTGGACGATCATGGGGCATTTGTGTTGTTTGGCAGCCATCCGAGGGTCGCCCGGAACCGCGTCGCATGCTGCCTAAATGACACAGTAATGGATCTTCTAGGATTACCCGGCGATCCCAGGATCGGCTTTGTCCGTCCCAACTTCTATATATTGACCTAAAACTTGGCGATATGTCGACGAAAATGATATTCGCTTGGCTCGTATATCGTGCAGCTCGCGCTTTGCATGCGATGTGTATTCTCTAGGCATTTATGCGTGATCGCTACTTGTCGTCGTCGTTGTTTTTGTCGTCCTGCCGCGGCATATGACACCTAGCTGCATATCACAAAGATCGACATCCATATACTTCACTACCGATCAGACTTCTGCCAGTTACACTGCTAAAAAGAAGCGCCGCGATCGACGACCGACCGATCTCTCACACGTCGGTCTCTCGTGACATCGCGGCGGCACCAGATATAAATGGCACGTGCCACCGCGTTCTCACTCTGCTTTTCCGCGGAATTAGAAGCGATCACGCTGAATCGACGAGCTTGTGTCGGCGCTCGTGTCGCTTCACATACATCACTTATACGTGAAAAATACGCCTCGATCTCACGTCACACGTTTTTTAACAGTGTAGCACACTCGAACTGTTCTCTGTCACACGCTTATTTTTCTCCCCTGTACTTCGCGATACTTTACTGTACTTCACATACGTTCACCACTTACGACATTACACTCTTCTCTTCGTGCTCTCCTATCTCTCTCTCTTTCTCTCTCTCTTTTCTTTCTCTTCTCGTAACTTTCCTGTCACTTTCTTTCTTTCTCTTGAACGCCCACGACGACTCGAGCGTAAAAAAAACTCCGTCCCGAATTATACAATGCGCGCGCGAAATATCGACTCGACCCGACAGAAAAATCGCCGCGTCACAAGTCTCTGAGAACACTCGAAGATCCGGGATCCCGTGCCCACCGTACACGAATAACACGAACAGAGCAAGGTTAAGCTTCGGTATACCAATATACTGGTCAGAAGAGACCTAACACATACATTTCAAGAAAAACTAGATAATTAAAGATATCTTATTTTAGTTTATTATTACGTAACGCACGCATTTGCATCTTTTCTCAATAAATACTTATTTAAAATTATTATTATATATTATATTACTAAGTATATAACATACGTATTCCATTAAAGAATGCTTTTTAGAAGCTGGATCAGACTTTGACTCAGTTTTGGTAGTTGAAATTGTCAGGATATTATGGTAGCCCGAGGGTTAACTAGTGTTTCTTAGCCTCAGTAGAGAGACAAGTCTTTTCTTTTAATCTTAGAAAGATACGCGCCAGGTTGTACGCGTAAGGCACGTAATATCGTTAACGTCGCAGTCTCGGTAGATTTGTGCGTTATCTTTTTGCAAATATTCGCTGCGAGAGAGACTCGTCGTAATACATATATACATATACCGTATACTTGCGTTTAGAAGATTATATTTACGCTTGGCAATTATCCCTTTTTCTCCCCCCTCTCGCAAACGTTCGCCGTGACATTCTGCAACGGCAGGTGTCTTGTTTCTTTCTTTTCTCACCGCGGCCGCGTTTCCGGAGCCTGTGTCCGCGTCTCATTTATTTTCACACAGTGTGTAGCCTGTAAGTGTGTGCGAATATCTGTCGACCCGGGCGATGATTTAAAGCTTGTCACATTTGCGCGCGTTCGACGTCGACTTCGCTGCAAACGTCAACGGGGCGAAATTCGCAAGAAAAATTGACCGATGAAATGTAACTGACAGGTTTGGTAGATAATTCTTTTACTAACGCGACCGAATAATTGTTTATTATGGCTTCGTGGATTAGACGTCAGCCGTGTTAAAGTCAATTATTGTTCCGTCGTGCATCCTAATATTAGCATTATTGATTGCTCGCGTGAAACAATAAATTAACATGCTCGTATGATGTATTATGTTGAGAAATTATATTATAATGTAAACGCGCGCGAAATGTTTGATTTACATTGACACTCTTTGGAATGTGATTTCAGGGAGAGTTAAATATGTACTCGAATAAAAGAGTTTTTAATTTCTCCTCAAAAGGAACAGCCATATCTGAATTTCAGTTAGCGTTCTTTGTTTCCGTTGTATAGAGCCCGTTACAATCGCACACAATCGATATGATTCGCTCACAATCCATAAGTGTATACCTACTTTACACGCATTCACTTTTTGCAAATACAAAATACATATATTTATATGTATATATATTATACAGACACGCCGAACTTGCAGAATGTGACTGTACGAGCTTCGAGTGACAGTCGTTTTTGCTGTATTGTCCGACACAATTGCTTAATCCCTTACCGATGCGCAGTATCTCCATTCTCGAAGACAAATCTATTAAAATCAATTTTCACAGCTTCTTTATAAAAAGAAAAAAATTTGCAAGAATTTAAATTTCCAAATATTTCAAAGCACAGGAAATCATATGTTCTTATGTGATTTTGCAGCCCAAATCTATAATTTAGGGAAAAATTTTTCGTTCTTGAAAACGAATGTAATTCTTCACATATTTGTACGTAACAATATTTGATTAAAAATATTTAAAAGATTTGACAGTATTCATGGTTTATCATGAGGTAAAAGTGAAGCTAGATATTTATAATGTATACCTGTTGACGATGAATGGAAAAATCGAAAAAGCCTCGCATAAGAGCTAAAAATAGACGTTTCTCTTTGCGGAAGTATTTTTAAAATATGAGTTTTAAACCTACATCGCGCGCGCATTACTTTGAGCATTTAAGCACGAAAATAACGAACTACTTGACCAACGAGTAAAAAAGAATGTTTCATTTAACAAACATTTTTATTTTGGCGTTGCAATGTTTAACTAAATTTATGCTATTTTATTTTTATATTTGGATAATATTTCGCATCTCGTCAACTCCATCATAATCAATTGTTAGATATGAATTGATGCAAATACTGCTGATCGATGTTAATGACGTTACAATTGTCGCAAATGCCTGCTGACCTAAGAGCGGTCGCTGCGACTGCATGAAAAGATAATCAGCTGCGTCATTAATTAGAGGATGACGGAGTCGCACGTGCGACGAAAATGGAGACGCTGCTTGGCGATTGTCCGAATCCCATTAGTCCACCGATTCCGTCTCTCCCCCATCCTTGACCTCTGTCGCGGGGATACTTTAGGCCAGCAGATTGTCTCGGTTGCAGCATCCTAGGGATGTACCTGTTCGGGGGTAAGTTTTGCATGTGGGCGGACCGGAGTCGGCCCTGCACCTGTGCCGAGGTGGTCTCGCGGCACCCAATGTGCCGCTGTGATCGCAAACATTTCAACGACATCGTCTGGGCACTAGTCACTGTCTTTCAGGTACCACTGTTCCCCTCTCTCTTAATGCTATACATAACGTTTTGCGTGTTTTTAAAGGCGGCATACACATATATATACGTAGCCGTTTTTCGCCACGTGTTTTTACGTATATACACGGTCTTCCCACCACCTATTTGTGTTCTCTCTGTTTCTCTTTCTCTGTACAGTTGTCCCCGTCGTATATATATTTATATATATATTTCTTCGTGTTGAGCAAACGGACCCTAACGTGTGATCCTTCCGTCCCCTAAGTCCACCCACGCTTCGTCCATTCTTGTCTCTTTGTTGTCCGTGCGGAGCGACAGAGCCTTTAATGGTTGCTTTGTATTTACATGCGTGCAACGGTATATACGTATACATACATGTCGACATTCACCAATTCGCTCGCTCGCGCAGATCAAACTGCGCGACGATGACTCCACCCACGAGCGTGTTACAATTTCGATTCAGCTCACACATCATCCATGTGAAAGCAACTAATGTGTACAGCGCGGCAGAACGCTGCTCGGGCGAGCAACTTTCTGCCTTTCTATCACGTGTTTCCGTTTTACATTTGTGCTCGATGCAATCCGACTTCTTAAATTTATCGCTGTACAATAATAATTATGAATTATTGGCATTTTTTTTGTATCCTTCTGATAACGAGTATTTGTTCGGACAACAATAGAAAACAAATATAAATGTTGATAAATTAATAATAATAAACAGTAATAAATTAATGAATAATAAACAGTGTCGACAGTTGCATTCTTGATTGTATGTAACGTTGAATCTCATTCTTTGCGTATCGTTGTACGCGCGACAGCTGATTAAACTCAAATTTGTGATGGAATACCGTTATTAACAGCTATTACAATACTGCGCATGTAAATAACAATCCTGCTAATATTCAATATTAATCGCTCGGTATGTTGAATTAATTTTTTTCTTAGATGTTAGTGACTCCTTAATTTTTTTCAACGGCGTGTAACGTTATCAGGCTAGAAGGAGAAGTAGATTAAAGATAGAGTAAAGAGTTGATCAAGATAAGCGAATACGCGGATGAATACGAAGAGTTTGCAAAGAGAAATTCGTGATAGAAAACTCGACGCATGCATATTCATCAAGTATCGCGACACTGGTTGGCAAAACGTTTTGTGCCTCTCTATCGAGTATGCAAGCTTGAATGCGGTGCGGATGCAACACAAACTTGTTTTGTACGTCAATTCCTTTTGATTGCATGTCTCTAAAACATTCTTATTAAAAAAAGAAGAAAAGCAATTCAACAAACATCTAACAAAAAATTTTTAAAAAATACTCTTATCTCCGAATATGTAATCAATATAAATTTAATTAAGTTATTCACGTATTTGCTCTCCGCATTTCAATATTTTACAATCTAAATATAATTTCGTATTTATACAGCATAATACATAGGTAATGTAATATTTGAAATAGAATAAGTGAAGCAGTTGAAAACCCACTAACGTAGGACAATATTCTAACACTTTAATAATCCCAATTTTCATTATGAGATTGTTATAAAAACTATAATTAATTTTATTACTGTGAGCTTACTGTTTTGTTTCATCTGTCCAAAGGTCTCAATTATTTGGCCGTCTTTTTATGTCTTATAAATAAATTAATTGGTCTCTATTGAAGATGTAATGAGTCTTATTTATCCGCGCGCGCATGTTTTGCAGTACAAAAATCTTCGGCACGCTTCGAAAGAAAGAACGTCTTGCCGATCATGTGCCTTATCTAACAATCACAGATATCTGCGTCGTTTTATGTAACGGGAATCTCTTCCCATTTTTTTATGTAGATCCTCACGCAGGAGGATTGGAACGTCGTCCTCTTTAACGGTATGCAGAAGACATCTCATTGGGCCGCACTTTATTTCGTAGCGTTGATGACCTTCGGCAATTACGTTCTGTTTAATCTTCTGGTCGCCATTCTTGTTGAAGGTTTCTCGTCGGAGGTAGGAATTAAAAATATGTCATTTTTTATTCAGTATTGTGTCTGACGCGTATTGCAGGAGATTTAACGATGCACCTAAATTTGTAATAATTTCTTCCAATTTCTGTAATTTTAATGACTATGTTGCAAATCGTGTTTTATATATTTACGTACGCGTTAGAAATTTATGGAAATATGATTTATGACGAGCGTGTCAGCTGCAAAAAATATGAGATAATTGATGATGTATTTCGCAGAGAAATGAGAGGAGAGAACGGGAGCAGAGAGAAATGGCGAAAAGGCTCGCTGCGAAGGAGGCAGCTGGAATGGGCAGCGAGGACGGGTCGTCAAGGGTGTCGGGATCACATTCGATCTCTGACAGCGATACGTATACGCAGGTAGTTGTATGTTTTGACGGTCGTCCCCAATAAATCCTCCCGATAAATAAATTCCACGTTTCTCGTTTATTCATCACGCGGAAAAGATTAATTATGCAAAAAAAAAAATGACCTGGAACGCAGGTTACCTCCATTTTAGAATATTTTTTTTTTTTTTACTCTTTTTAAATATTTCACAGAAAAGAGTCAGCCATGACGCTACGTGAAGATCCGCAGAATATTTAAAATAATTTAAACTATGTAAATCAATTATATAAGAATACATAATTTAATTATACAAATTTTAATTCTACTTGCTGCATTGATTGCTCGAAAAAAATGTGTCAAGTTGTCAGAAATGATCGTATCTAGATATGATAATGCGGGGTATTCAAGTTTATCTAACAAACTTCGTCAATTGCGAAATTGGTCTCATTTCACGCAGCGTCAGCCCTCTTTCGTGTGATTTACAGGATCAAAAGAATTCGTGGCAGAGCGCGGAGGAGCTGAGAAAGTACAAGGACAACAGGGAGAAACAGAACAGCGTGTGGAAGCAACGGATCGATGAACCTAAATGTAACATTCAGAAAGAGAGCAAGATGATGGGTGTGGCGGGACAACCGCCAATAATCACTCATACAGCGGCGACTCCTCAAGACTCTCCGAACACCACGTTGGATGTCGGCTACAGAGATCTCAATTGTCGAGCAGTTTATCCCGCGGCCGCTCTTTCAATCGAGTCCATCGATCGATCTGGTGTATGTCGTTTCATTTCGACAAACGGCTCATCGTTACGCTTTTGTTGAACGAGCTTTCATCGCGATTCATGCGAAAAATATTTGAAATCGACAAACTATCTTCGAGTACCTAGAGATGCTATCTTTATATGACGTTCAAAAATTAAGGACACGTTTCAAAACTTCTATAATACTTTTTATCTTAACTGGAAATATCATTGCACAGTGCTTAGAATTTTATTTAAACTTCACTAAAAATTATGTTCGAAAATTGTAATTTGTTCGTTTCGATTAAATTTTATAAGTCAGAAAATCACCTTGATAAAGCTCTTATACGATTTTCAATATAAAACGTTTCTATGCCGTATTTCTCATTAGAATGTTAGATTGAGGAAAAGAAATACGATAATGGCGAGTGCGTTGTATTTGCAGAGTCAATGCAGTATACCCTCGGGGTTGTTAAAGCTGCCCGACGTGTCTAATAAAATACCGACGAATAACTTAATAGCCGGTCAATTCCCGAGACGCATAAGCCTTGTTACGGCCGTTGTTAATCCCTCGACGAGGGACTCGAGTTCCAGGTATCTATACTTCGTCGTTTCTCAATCATGTTAAGCGCTGTTCTTTTTTTCTGATACGGTTTCTTTCTTCTGTAGTCCACCGAGGATTCAAAGAGGATACTCGTGGCGCTTATCACGGCCGTCTTTACGGAGAAAACGATGGTCGCAAAGTGATGACGAGCACACAGGCCATACTACTGTACTTAATAACGGGCGCAGTACTTTCGTCGGATCCAATCCAACGTAAGTCAAAAGAAGCGCCACGCACCCCTAATTATTCGAAAGAAATTATTTAATTCAAATTATTAGAATTAGTTATTACAATTAATTAATCTTTAAAATTGTAAGAATTAATTCAGCAAACAATCTTGTGAAAATGATGCTGCAAGACCTTATCATTTCCATACATATTGTGTTAAAATGAGAATACTAATGATAAGTAAAAATAATCCTAAAATAATAATTAATGCTAAACGCTATTAAGCGACAAATAAATGAAGAATTAGATAAGAAAAACAATTTCTTCCAGTTTCAATGGCGGTTACATACACGGTTCGATAAGAAATGACACGCAACGCGACGCGCCCAATAATCGAACTACCGTCCTGACAAGCAATAATCGTAGTTTGAGTCCTAATAATTCGCTCGATAGCCATGGCCCATGGTCGATTCGTCGTTACACAGTCACGCCTAATCAGGTGAGTGGCGATACAATATTTATTAATTTATTATTTTATCATTATCTCGTGATAATTTTATATCACTTTATGCGTTGCTGCATCAAATTGAAGATATTTGTCAACATTTTTAACGCTTAAAAAGTGTCGCTTAAAATAATGTAACGCCACGATGTTGTGATACGATTTACAGATGCGATGGATCGGCGAGCTTTCGCGAAGAAATTCGCTACGTGGATATGAGAATGTTCAAACGTCCACGAGAAAAACGCCATTGGACGAGATGCTCGCGCCGTCCTCAACTCCACGCACGATCAACAATCTCTCGATGGAGACTGGTCCACTGCCGAGAATCAAACGACTTCCTGAACATGATGAGGAGCATTTGAGAACAGGCGAGCAGACACCGCCGTCCAATGGTCACGGAAGTACGAGTAACGTCGCGCAAATCAAAAAGATATTCATGTTCTTTGAACCTAAGGGCTGCTTACAGGAGCGCGAAAATTATTCCCTGTATTTATTTCCACCAAATAATAGGTAAACGCAGCATTACTACTTGATTACTGTTTCAGACACTTTGCGATAAAAATAATATTAAAATGAGATAATATAAGATAAGATTTAATTATATAATACTGTTATTATATTAAGCTTGAATAATTAGCATATATTTTACGCGATTAAAAGATATGCGGTATAAGAGAATCACGTTTTCTCGATTCTGCAGGTTTCGTATTTTATGTCAATGGTTGGTTGATCAAAAATGGTTTGACAATGTAGTACTCCTGTTCATTGGATTAAATTGTATTACTTTGGCAATGGAGCGACCGAATATACCGCCGGACAGCCGCGAGAGAATTTTTCTAGCCACCGCGAATTACATTTTTACTGGCGTTTTCGCTATTGAGATGTTTATTAAGGTAACGTATTACATTTCTGGAGATGTTATTTGCAATACCGCGGTAGTTCGTAACAGAACTTTTGTCATAAATAAGATTCTGTTTTGCAATAATTATATGAATTTTTCATTAGGTCGTTGCAACGAGTATGTTGTATGGTCCAGACGCATATTTTACATCCGGCTGGAATATTATGGACGGATCTCTCGTTATCATTTCCATAATCGATTTATCGATGTCGCTGCTTTCATCTAGTAGCCCCAGAATATTTGGAATATTAAGAGTAAGCTTGCATTTAGTAAATTTATCGCACAATCTATTATATCATACACGTAACACAAAGTCCTGGGTTTCATTATTATTTTTAATATTCGGTTAAATTTTTATCATAATTAAGCTTCTGCTAAGAGTATAAAATTGTTTCTCTAATCAGAGATTTTTGAAATATCACAGGTATTTCGATTGCTGAGATCACTAAGACCTCTGCGAGTCATCAATCGTGCACCTGGTTTAAAGTTAGTTGTTCAGACGTTGCTGTCCTCATTGCGGCCCATCGGCAATATCGTTCTAATCTGCTGCACGTTTTTCGTGATCTTCGGTATTCTTGGGGTGCAACTATTCAAGGGTGCGTTTTATTATTGCGAAGGTCCCGACATTAAAACCGTGCGCAATAAAACGGATTGTTTGGCCGATAAACGAAACGTGTGGCTCAACAGAAAGTATAATTTTGACGATCTCGGGAAAGCTCTCATGTCATTGTTCGTCTTGTCGTCGCGAGACGGATGGGTGAATATCATGTATACCGGTCTAGACGCTGTTGGAGTCGATCAGCAGGTAAGAAAAATTCATTAATTTAAAATGAGTATTTTTTCTTCTGGCGTGTCAAATACTTTTCCACATTTTCTAATTCGGATAAGCACTATATAATGTTTCTTCAAGTATTTTGATAACTGAAAGTATAAGTAATTCTGCCTTTGTTCATATAATAAAAATAATTTGATATTCTCGCAATGATTTAATGAAAAAAAAAATTGATTACAGCCTATCGAGAATTATTCTGAGTGGCGTTTACTATATTTCATCGCATTCATATTGTTGGTGGGTTTCTTCGTGCTAAACATGTTCGTCGGCGTGGTGGTGGAGAACTTTCATAGGTGCCGGGAGGAACAGGAGAAAGAGGAACGCGTGCGAAGAGCGGCTAAGCGCGCGTTGCAAATGGAGAAAAAAAGACGAAGTGAGTGGCCGTCGGGTCAACTAAGTTAATGCCGCTTTTATAATAGCAGCGAAAATAGCGTCGGGGAGATACATATATACAATGTCGATTGTGATTTTCAGAGATGCACGAACCGCCGTATTACACCACCTACTCCAAATCACGACTATTCGTTCACAACGTCGTAACGTCCAAGTACTTCGATCTGGCGATCGCCGCCGTTATCGGTCTCAACGTTGTCACGATGGCGATGGAGTTTTACATGATGCCGAAAGCGCTCACTTACGCCTTAAAAATATTCAATTATTTCTTCACAGCCGTGTTTATTCTCGAATCTTTTATGAAGCTTGTCGCCCTCGGTGTGCAGCTTTATTTGAAGGACAAGTAAGCGCATAATCTTCTTTTGCGTTATTTTTAGAACTGCATGAAAATCTACGTTTTCTATTGTTTCGGAGATTGTTGCGTTATCAATGGTAAAAAATTCAACTCTTCTAAGGACGTTCTTCTTGCAGATGGAATCAATTAGACGTGGGAATAGTGATACTATCAGTGGTAGGCATCGTGCTGGAGGAGGTCGAATCCAAGATCATTCCCATTAATCCTACTATAATTCGCGTGATGCGAGTGCTGCGGATAGCCCGAGTGTTGAAACTCCTGAAAATGGCGAAGGGCATACGTGCCCTTTTGGACACTGTGATGCAGGCATTACCGCAGGTCGGCAACCTGGGATTGTTGTTCTTTTTGCTCTTCTTTATATTCGCCGCGCTGGGAGTGGAACTCTTTGGTCGACTAGGTAACCATTTTGATATTTTTGATGCATTTTTATATGATCACTTAAATCACTGTGATAATAAGTTCTTGACAATTATATATATAATTTTTTTTACGTTTTTTGCGGCCCATCGGCAATATCGTTCTAATCTGCTGCATGTTTTTCATGAGCGTTTTCCTTCGGCATTATTGAGATGCAATTATTCAATTTTTGATGAAAAAATAATTTTTTCAGATAGATTTAATAAAAAAATATGTACTTTTATACGTTATATAAATTATTTGAATGTTTTTTGCTAAGATTTTTGTTAAGATATATTTTGTTTCGCGATCGAATATAAATCTAGTAGAAGTAAAATTGATTCAAATCAAACGTTAATTTCCTGTCACAGAATGCAACGATGATATGCCGTGTCAAGGTCTTGGCGAGCACGCGCATTTCAGTAACTTCGGTATGGCCTTCCTAACGCTTTTCCGAGTTGCTACTGGTGACAATTGGAACGGAATCATGAAGGACACATTGAGGGATGATTGCGACGACGCGGCGGACTGTGTTAAGAATTGTTGCGTGAGCAGTGTTATCGCGCCGATATTTTTCGTAATTTTCGTTCTGATGGCGCAATTTGTATTAGTGAACGTTGTCGTCGCTGTACTCATGAAACATCTGGAAGAGAGTCACAAACAGGTGACGTTTCCAAAGAATTTTGTAAAATAGACTCTATTTTATTTCGATGAAAATTCGAAGTATATTTTAATTTCAGATGGAAGACGAACTCGATATGGAAACCCAGTTGGAGAGGGAATTAGCCGCGGAGCAAGAAGAACTTCTTGAGGTCGAGGAAGATGAGGATGACGTAGGAATGAACGGTAGAATAATCGACGAGGATGATGAAGAGGATGAAGACAAGGAGCGCGAATCTATGGTGGAAAACGAGAAAATACCCTCCACGAGACCAGGATTGGCCAAAGTTCGCTCTTTACCTGCGAATTTTATTTACAATCCGCCGAGAAACGTCGATGGTATGAGCGTTATTTTTATTATACTGATTCTCGGTAAACTAATTGCGTTATTGCAACATTATATTTTTTACTGCTATTTTTCAGAACTCGTTATAAAATTAATGGATCAATTCCCATATTTTTCAGACGCCTCGATTTCCGTATCCTTGGACGAGAAACGTCGCAGTTCTTATCATCGCAGTGCAAGACCGTCCAAGTTTAAGTCGAAACGCCGGCAAACCTTCCATTCGGGCCATCATCAACGAAGATCATTATTGCCGATGCACTTCGAGGTCGCGGAAGTCTTCGAGAAGCCTGTGAGTAATCTGAGCGTGCCTCGAATTATTCCACATCGCAGTTACGCCGCCGCTAGTCAAGACATCAGTCATGTACAACGTCCGAAGTTGCAGGTGAGGCATTGTATTCCGATAATTAAATTTATAATTTTGCGGAGGGAAATAATAAGCTATTAAAGAGTCGCATATCGATCATAAAGAGACAAGAAAATATTAAACAAAAAAAAACATTAAAATCGTATCCTTTGATTCATTAGATAAATTTCCTATAATTATTTGTATATTCAAAACACGAAAATAATATGTACATATTAAAATGTTTGCTCTTAGCGGAAGATATGTTTCAAAAAATCAATATTCAAAATTGGTAATATATATAATTATGTGATCAATATTATTTTCATAGACCACCGCGACCACCACGACCACCAGTGGTGAAACGCGTGAAAATAAATCTCTGCTAACCGTGAGTAAACCTTCGACTAGTCCTACGGTGATCATCCCCCCTGGCTCGAGCGGCAGCACTTTGAGCGTGCCACCGAGATTGACTAGCGATCGTTATCTGATGCCGACCACTGAGATCTACCCGTCCAAGGCGACGATGAGCCGTCGGATGTCGAGCGACACGCAATCGCCGACGCAGTCGGATACGAGTCCGAGCGCGAGCTCGCGGACACCTAGTATCGCGAACGGTTACGCCGGCGGCAAGGTTCGACTGGAAATCGAGCAGAAACCGCGAGGGGACGAGCGAGGACGACCAGCGGCGACGGCAGCATCGACAGCGATCCAGGACGATCTGGACGTGCAATCCGTCATCAACGAGAGGAGGCCGTCCAAGCTGAGGACGACGCACGACGGCGCGTCTACCAGCGCCAGCATCGGCAGCGATCAATACAGCGCGGTCATCCGGGGCGAGGGTTACAGCCACATCTACGTCGCGACCGACGATAGATCCGACGAGGCCGCGTCGCCGTGTGGCAACGCGAGCGAGAGCACCGGCAGCCTTAGCGCCGTCGCCAGCCTTAGCGTTGCCGGCAGCATCTGCGGTGTCGGCAGCATCTGTGGTGTCGGCAGCATCAGCAGCGGCAGTGGCGGCAGCCGGAATGGCGGTAGCGGCAGCGGTAGCGCCGGTGGGGTGCACATCGGCGAGGGCGGCGCCATCGGATCCGACGTTAGAATATACGTGGACGACACGGATTCGGCGAGCAGCAGCAACGGGCATCGGCGCGGCGGCAGATTACGCGACGACGAGTCTCCGGACGTCTCGACGACCATCTCCTCCACTACGACAATGAGAAACGGCGCTGGAGGCGGTGCGGGTGGTAGCGGCGGCGGAAGCAGCGGTACGGACGAAAACAAGGAGACACCCGAGAGACCGTCCACCGCCTCCGGGCCGCCCGATGATCCCTCTTAATCCGGAGGATTCCTCTTACTCCGAACGAGCCGAAGTAATCTCTAAGCTGTAACGTGCCGCGGTGGGAGGAGTTTTCGAAGATGAAACGCGGAACTACCGAAAAGAGGTGAAGAGGTCGCGCGGGGAGAGGAAATCTGAGAAAGGGCTCTAAGAAAGACTGTAGTGCATGACAATATAGTCGTTATATTCTAGTCACTTTTCGCCGCCGTGAACTTGCCAAAAGCGAACAAGCCGAGCATTTAGAAAGGTTGAGCTTTTGAAGAAGAGAAGTATAAAAAAAAAAATCATCCCGTACAGATCGTGCGAGGGAGGTACGATTTGTGCGAACAAGATGATGTAAATTAGGGAAACCTACTGACGCGTAGTCGCCAACAGCTACGCGAAAAGCGCGCAAAGATGCGCGTTACGCAACTTGAAAACCTATGACAATCTCTTATTGCCAACGGAACCGATCTTCGTGTTCCGTTTCCGATGCGTCGTGGAAGTCGACCTGTAGAAATTGGTAGGAAGAAGAACGACGTAGATTACGTCGAAAAAAATTAGAAAGAGAGAGAAAGAGAGAAAATTTCAATAGTTTATAGCTAGACCTTACGTCGAGTCTATGCGACAAAACTGCAATTAATTGGACCACACTGTCTCGCCTTTTCTTATTCTCTAACTCTTAAAAATTGCGCGCGGATTGCCGGTTGGGAATCAAACATGTCTTACAATCGATCGACATAAATTGTATCCTTGTTATTTGACTGACTAATGTGAATAATAGTTAATTAACTCAAATTAAACTGGCGGATAATCAGATTTTTACGTAAATGTAAATTTATCTCTAAAGAATAATGTCCAAAAAAAAAGATGTAATCTTACGCTTGAAATAATATATACAGATTGTTTAATTTTCATAAATAACTTTCTTTTCATTAGAATTAATGATTCAATCGATTTAAAGAGTCTTTAAGGATTCGATTGATCAATTGTGGGGATTATTAATAATCGGCATCCGAGAATCGCGATTTATCTTCGTTTCGTTCACTTCACACTCTTTTCACACTCTAGAGCGTTCTTCTCGTTGACATCTGTGATATACTTTAATCGTAGTGTATTTCCTAACGGTAACAGAGCAAATATCATGAGACCGTAACATCAGCAGCAGCCGCAACAGCAAGGAACAGCAACAATTTTAGGAACGTAGCTGACTTTTTAATAAAACGAAAACTAATGTTTCGGATGGCTTTCGCGGGGAGTAAAAAAAAATAGAGACACAAAACAAAGATAAATAGGAACTCTATACTGTACATAACATATACCTACGAATATTCTATACTCTACACTTGGTGTGGTTTATTTTGATACTACCGCGTGCGGTAATATATTTAACGATTGTCGAAGTAAATCTAACATAAAAAAAGAAAAAGTAAAAGTAAACAACTCTATGCCTTTTACGAACGTTGACGAACCTTCGTGCGGTGGTGGTGCCCGCGTTTTTTCAGCTGCGAAAGAACGATCGACGACTTTCACACTCCTTCGTTCGATCGAGGGTGTAGTCGCTAAAATGCATTAACGCGCGCCGGGCGCGTCGCGTTGCTTCGTTAAAAAAAAATAGTAGTAATCGTCGGCCGATCGATTTCTCGGTCGATATTGTGTTTCGTTTAAAAAGCCTAACAAAATCTCGAGTCGAGCGGCGTTTCTGCGTCGGGTTTAAGCGGAATTCCTGGTACAAATAATCGGACTTTATCATCGAGTCCTTCCTAAAAATAATTCGTACAACATATGGCGGTCCCACGGAGTTGCGCTAAACATTAGAGCGGCTGAGAATTCGCTAATTAGAAAAATAGTTTCGTGCACGAGAAAAATTATATTATAACAAGCTAGCTTTATTATGATGCCTTCTTATTCTCTGTATCTTTTCGATGATATTTATTGCCTATTATGATTTACCATGTTTGTATGGTTATAACTTCTTGAAATTGCTGTACTGCTATATACACATAATTGGCGCAAGACGATGCTGTATCTCTTGATTATAAAGCGTGATTTTCACAAGTTATTCAATCGCTGTTTAATTAAAATGTGTAATTTACCAAGTTTAGAATTTTGTGTCACAAGTTGTGAATTTTGTGGAAGAGAGAATTGAGAATTTTATAAAACTGTGTATACTTTAAGATTGAACAAGAGAGTGTTTGATTGAAATGGCTATTCTAGTAATAAACCTCGACCGGAAACAATGCAGTAAGACAAGTACATAGAAAGTATAGGAAGGAGTAATGCGAGCAACTCCACACATCACTACATCAGATCGTGTTAGACGTTTTAAGGGAAGTACATAGATAATTACGTATCCATGTGTTTACGTACATGTACGCGCGTCTCTTCGGCACCACGACTGGCTCTCGATAGCTCGATAGCGTTAGACGACTGATCTCCGAATTATAGTTACTCTAGCTACGCGCCGAAAGTGATCGCGCGCGAGTTCGCCGATCAATTGCACACGTATCGATAGTCTGGCAATTATATACTGTAAGAGAAGAAAAAAATAGAAAAAAAAAAATTACATAGGAACACCGATTCAGCAGAAGGCCAGAGAAAAAAAAAAAAATCATTAGTCATACAGTCGTACGTACGTGTGAACGCGTAATCGAGGGAAATATCGAAATTCGCAGCGTGCCTCTCGAGTCTGTTCTTCGCCCGTAGAGAGGAGGCAGCGCGTAATCGTCGAATTAAAGAGCGTAAAAAAAAAAAACTGTAAACTAAACACAGATACAAAAGCAAAAACCCAAAATGGGGCTGTCACCGGCCCTCAGATATATAACACGCTATTTTAATTACGATATTAATGCACCGGCCGGTGTCTGCAGGACCGCCGGGGAGTGTCCTTTTTGTCTGCCTGATGTTTTGCGTGCGTGTCCGTGTATGCGCCCGATAGTTGGTGACGGCGAAACTTTGGCCTCGCTCCACCACACGAAGCCGGGAAGTACGATAGAATGTGGGGTACGTGTGTGACGGAGAACGCGTGAGGAGAGATTCGAGATAGTGAAGTTAGAGGAGGACTAAATATGTACAAATGTAATAAAATCGAGCGACGATTACGTTGAACCGGTCTGTTGATTTTTTTTTATTTTTAACGACCCACCCTACTGTCCTGATTTACATCCAGCGCCTGATCAATATTATATTATCGCAATAGCGAATCTTTTCCTACGACAAGCGGCAACCTACATTTCACATGAGAATTTGTAAATTATTACGACAATATCCACTGTAAACTCGGTCAAATTATATTCCTTGTTGAATTATATTTGATTGTACAATAATTAATTACGTTATGTAATTAGTCCAAATATATTTGAAAAAATTACATTTCTCAGTACCTGCTGTGCATATTTATATTCGACTAAGCGTACCGTGTACTCGTATTCTGTAGATACACGTGTACTCCGGATTACCACTGTTAGATTGGACTGTCAATTCTATTATCTCGTATGCGTCTGCTGCTTGATTCTGCAATTAATTTAATTAAACAAATTGTCAATTTAACAGTTGCATTTGATATTTTACTTGGATCTCGAAATATTGCAACGGTGGACCAGTATTGTCGTATGTAAATTTGCCAAATAAGAAAGGTTTCTTATCCTCAAGATCCGTCAAACCCTAAGTACAATATAAAAATACAATGACGTATATTGATTCAGAATATTACAATAGACAAACAGATGCAATTGTGCAATAATCGGCTCACCCAAATGGAAAAATCTCTAGGCGCGGTAGTGGTTTCTCCAGTCGGGGATATCGACGAGGAGATGTGTTCGAGACTGATTCCGGATATGTGCACAAAGCTGAGTAATCGGATTACCACGCTGCCGCTGCTGCCCTTAAAAGCCCAACATTCGCCCGGCAAAACGCCGGTCTGGTGAATGCATTGGGGTCAGAATAATATTGAATTAAATATAATCAAGTAACCTGTATTACGGCTCGGGGTGTGTTTTGCTGCTGACAAAGCGGTATGCCGAACAGATTGAGCACAGGTGCGCCGGTTGAATAAGATTCGGTGTTTCGTGTCGAAAGAATCGAACCGCCTGTAGTTAAAAATCTGCGTAACGACGATGCGCCGAGGAGATGCGCGTTTTATTTAATTTATTCGTTAAAAAAGCTATGTGTTTCAAAAAGCTCACTATAAACTATTTTCATAAATACCGACTAAAAAAGAAGGCTTAAGAGCCAGGTTTTTATCTCATTTACGCATGAGATTATTAGCAGGTCATAAGATTGCCCTTTAATTAATCCATCCTGTACAGAAAAAGCTGAATAAAAATAGATTGTTGGATATTGTAAAACCTGAACTTTCAAGAGCGTAATCTGTTCTTCCAGTCTTGTCTGCATCGTATGTTTGCAATTCGTTTCTCATCATATTTTTAACGGTTTCCGGTGACAAAGCCTTTAGCAAGTTCTTCGTGTGCAGACTCATCTCTGTAGTAATTTGTACTTGCAATAAATGTGTTAAAAACTGGCAAAAATAGCTGACAATTATTTGTCAAGTAAGATAAAAATAAAAATAATTAGATGCGCGTGAATGATACAAAGAGAAAAGCTTTCACTTTATCACAAACGAAAGATTGCCGATGCGAGTAAGCTGTATAATATGCCGTTCTATTTAATCGATATATTTGACATCAAAGAAATGCCACTGCACTAGGCGTAGCATCCGGTCAGCATTTATATGCCGCACCTTTCTTACCCTCGGACACTTCATTCCTGAGATTGAGAATAGCTTCTGACATTTTTGGAATCACACTGCCTACTTCCTTCAATTTGCTTTTTAACTCATCGCGTATCTCCATTATATTCTTCACCTCTAGCTAATATAATTTTTGCAGAAACAATAAGATATATTTGTTGCAAAAAACATTATTCTGTTAAATAATTACCGAAAGAGTTCCTAAATGGATCCTTAGATTTCCCAAGTCTGCTTTGATCATTTTGAATGACGAACTGGCAGAATATTTATCGCAAAGATGGGATACCGACATTGCTAAAGATATCACAATTTTTTATCAAAATAAGCGTGTAAATAAAATCTATTAATTTCATAAATTGGTTATGTTAAAATTAAGTTCGTTGAAATCTTTCATAAATTAATTCAATCAAATCGCGTACCGAGCATCGAAGTAATGATGCAAAAAGCGAAGGGTTTGATAAGTTTGGTGTACCAAGCGGACCGTTGATTGCAGTTGGCCGGAGTGCCCGGACAATTTCCTGCATTAACACAACAGAAATTTTGCTGTCCGCTCATCGGCGTCGTCTCATCACTCTCAGAATATGAAAAAAATTACGCCAGTTGCAGAGATTAAATTAATTTAGGCAAGATTTTAACGATACTTCATATGAGCGATTTTATAATCGCACGTGTTTCAACGTCAGATATGTCAAAACTTTGGTAACCATTGACAATTACTACAGCTTACACATAATCGATATATCGCAAAAAAAGTGAATCGCGAATGTAACAAACTGCTACTAATATTTAGATTGAAAATCATATGGCAAAAATGATAAGCAAAATAAATTCCCGATTGTGAGGAAAATTTCATTTCACTTGATAAAACGTTCAAATATATTTTCTTACGTTGTTTTTATATTATTAACGAGTGTACACAAGGTATATATGTACAGAATAAATATAGACAATGCTAAATGTATATACATGATTACAAGCGAGTAGCTTCGTACACGAATAATCGTATAACAAGATGTGATTCTTTGTCACATTTTTTTGACGCAGTTAAGACACCCGTCATTCACTTTGCATGAATCGTTATGCTCTACTAAAGAGCTTAAGTACTTCTTTTATAAATAACGTCCTTTCCATGTTTTTTAAATAAGCATGAATTTTACGGCACGATTTTTTAAATTTGCCGTGTCTTCAAATTTTTTCATTTTTGTTTATTCCCAATTATTATATATGAAATTTTACTTTTATTAATATATATTTATATATATAGAAAACATAAGTTTTTAATGTAAATATAAAAAATAAAAAAATTATACTTCTAAATTTATATGTAAACTGTTCTCACCATTAAAGTTTACGTTAATTGAAAGAAATTTAGGACGAAGTAACATATACAAGATGTTACCTTTGCATCGATGCAATGTAAATATTCTTTCGTCATTGCTAAGATAATTTTGCATCGTATGTAATATCGGACGTTTGCGAATTGACGTCACTGTAAATTTTTCAGGGCGGAATGTATGCGCACATTGAGCCGACTTTCAAAATCGTAATCTCTGTATTGAGTTTGTGCCTTCAATAAAAAGTTTTTACCTTCGCTGGAATTCTGAAATATAAAACTGCGTCAGCGACAAGAAAAACAGACAAGTTTGTGTTACGTATAAAAATATATCTAATCAATAAAGAAATGAAACAGGAAGGAGTTATTTTTTTATGGCAAATATTAAATATGTTGGATTGGACGCAGATAACACACGTGCATTCAGTGTACTTACATTGTTATTACAAAGGCTACTTCCCAGTTCGTAAAGAGCAAACGCGCTGACGTGCTGATCATGCTCGTCCTTGGACGGATACCTACATTTCAGACAATTTCGATAACATTTAATAGCCCCTTCGGTGTCCCCCAAATAAGAACACGCAGCGCCTTCCACAAGAGCAGTCAAACCCACCATCGGTTCCTCAGAATGATTTCCCTTACATTCTGGTAAGTAAGAATTAAATAATCGGCAAAATGTAAAAGAATTATATCGCGCGCATACAATGATTCTTCTATCATCTAAAATCTTATCGATTATAGAATAAGAATAATGATCACGAATCGATTATTACCCCACATTATTCCCCGCAGCGATTCGCTGGAACAAGAAGGCATGGCGTTCCATAAGTATAGTAATTCGTATACGAGCAATCTATAATATAAGACTGTGTAAGGACGCTCGGTGTCCTTGTCGATGAGTTTCGGCACTCTGCGTAAGATAAAAGCGCCGAGTTGCGTCTCATTATTCATCTCGTCGAACCAATGAATGATCTTGTTGTAAGTCGTTAAAAGATCATCGAATTTGCCGTTTGCTCCGCAACAGACTGCAAATGTAGCGCAGTGAGACACTTCGAGTTTGCCGATTCGTATATCGTTGCCGTGTTAAAAATTACCCATGGCTAAGTACGCGTAGAAGCTCTTGGACCATCTGGACTGATGCTGCAACTGCAGTAACGATCGATAAGCCTCCTCGTAGCTCAAGCGTATCAGATGGCACCAAGCCACCTCGTGTAAACATAGCAATTTGATTTCTCGCTGCGTCGAGGTTTCCACAGCTTTACCGTACGCCTCGAGCGCTCCATTGACGTTTGACTACGAAACAGCGTTATTTCATCATGCGAGAAAAAATATTACAATAATACAGAAATCCAGCAAGCGGTGCTTTAACCATCGTGTCTTCTGTTTGTACACATGTGTTGATGATATATTTTTCTGTTCAAACGTGTCTAGATATTTATATATGTAATTAGGTCAATCTATTAGTACCTCCAATCGCTCCACTCTACCGGCGAAAAAGAGGAAGAGAGCAGAGTTATGGAACTCGGTGTGACATTCAGCTATCAGCTGTTTCGCTACTGCGACACCCGCTTTCACATTGGATCCGTCGAGTGCGAAAAACGGACGCACAATTGTATGATACCACAATAGAGACAATCTGCGGTAAAACAATGGTATGTTGTCGACCAGTCATTCAGCTATAAGTGTCTCAGGATATAAATACGGACATATAAAGTCACATTCATTTTGACATATTGGGCATGTCAATTAATTTTACAAATGTACATTTTACATAAATACCGCACTGAATATTAAGTGCTTTTTTAGTGTAAAGGGCAAGCATCCAATCCTACATATTGCTCCGTGCAAATACGCTAAGCGAACACTTTCAATTCACAATAAACTTACGTGGCGAGCGGTGCGCGCATATCTTCGCTAAGCCGCGCGTACATAAGAGCGGTGAGACCAGCTTGTCTATCGCCCTCGAAACCCAGGAAGTGAATCACCTTCAGCAGGGACGGTGGCAAGAGGCTCACGCATAGTTGATATATACCGTAGCCGAAACTCGCGGCCGACATTAAACGCGTCACCTCTGTAGGTTCCACGAAACTGCGAAGCACATGTCGCTTCAATTACATCTTTATACACGGCCTATTGTGAGACTAGATATATGAACGAGGAGAAGAAGCAAAGTGATTCAAACTAATTATTTGCTGTGAAATAGATTTACGAAGCAGTGTGTAAATTTACCGGCGCAAATTTGCGAACTGTTAAAGTGAGTGGAGTGAATCGTGGAGATTAAGATCAAAGAAATATCTTTGAAATACTTCGACAGGTGTCAGATAAGTTCGACAGAGGAATTTTTCTCTTACGTGGGAGAGGACAGAGGGCAAAGGACGAAAAGAAACGAGAAATTTTGTAAGAAGAAACAACAATTACGGTGTCTGTTGTTCGGACGTGATGCCAGTGAGCGAGAAGAACATTGATAGTGAGCTTCGCAGACCTGATGGCGGCGAAATGGGTGTCACGTTGTTCACGTAACCGTTGGAAGAAGGAATCGACCATTCCGAGGATCCCGGACTTTGCGGGCTCTGCAGAAAGGATCCGTTGCTCGTGGGAGTGCCACAGCACGGGCTGAGTCCTGCGAGAGGACGAGATTATTAAAAATGTCTAATGAAATTGACTCACACTACGATATACAAAAATTAAAAGAAACATAATTAGAGTTCGCCACAATATACGATAAGCTACAATTAAAAAACATCGCAAAAGCTTGTCGAGTTATTATAATTAAACAAATACTACTTCCTTTAATTAATAAAATTATAATTATTGACAATTTTTTAATTAATTATTAATTTATAATTAATTTAATGCTGTTGTGTTTTCATTAAATCATTAAATTAAAATTTTTAATAAATTAAAGCTGATTAATAGTTAATAATTGAACTAAAAACTGTTAGTATTTCTGCAAAGCTGTATAGTTAAATTAAAATTCTATTCATTCATTTCCTAAATCTTTGTCATTACAAATCATGCAAATGCGATGACGCACCGGTCGGATTTGTGCCGAAGGTGCGGCGATACAATTGCGAAATCTGCGTATATGCGTGCTGATAAACTCGCCAAGCTTTGCGAAGCATCCAACCGCCACGCACATATCCGGTTAGCTCTTGCTGAAGAAGCGTTAGTATGGCTGAACATACTTGCGAATCTGCTAGAACGATCTGGCGCTCTAATTTATTCACATACTCCTTCTGAAATTAGTATTGTAATTACTCTTTCTTATTAATAAATTTATGATCAAACACACACATACGATGTTTCGTGCACAAAATTCGCTAATGTAATTACTAAACGTTTTGTGATATTTTGTTGCACCGATTGTATTATACCACTACAACTAAAAATAAAGAATCTATTTTATATTAATTTTAATTTGCATCAACTTTGTGTATTTATATCATAAAAATCTAAATTAAGCAAAATTATATTAATACCCCTGCTAAGAAAACTTACGCCGGTCTCTTCGGCTCTAAACACTTTACTTTTCATAGACTTTAACCACCCTATATCGCTCGCACATTCTCGTTCCATATCCTTAAGCAATAACATGGCTTGTTGAAGCTTGTCATCTTCAAAAGTCATCAGGGCATTCTGTATGGTTTATTAAATAGCATTAAAAATTATTGACAAGGCATTGCAACATTCAGACGGACAGTATTTCTTATAAATCTGAGCAAAGCACGATTCGTTTTCTCATGGTTTCATTAAATTTTAATAGGATTAAGAGCATCTTTATTTCATTTGTCTGTCCTAAGAATTGCTATCGATTTAATGTATTTTCCGCTGCAATAGCTTACGTTTATTATTAAAACCGATTAGGTAACAACATTGTTTCGCGGCCTTGAGATGTTAAGCATACTTCGATGGAGTGTACTACAATCAATATGCCTCATCACGCGATTACATACCATGAAGAGTACAAAGCAACGGCCGGCTTTGACGTGGAAGCTATGAGGATGCTCGGTAAATAGAGCTTCAGCTTCTTCAGTTTTGTTGTTTAATAGCAGGGAAATGCCGGTCCTGGCGACGCTCCAGTCCTTCGCCGCTCCTTCTCCCATCGCCATTATCACGAAAAGAATTTTAGAAAAATGTATTTCAACGATAAAAGTCTTTCCTTGTCAGCCACGTGTTTGTCAAGTGAAAAGCATCCTTCCACCATGCAGGATTGTCAGCTGATATTCATATAAAGCTCACTTGCTCACGTGAGCATGCTAATGAAACTCATTCGTTCCAAAGAGTATTTAGCATTTGAAAACATATAGAATATCTTATGCATTTACGTCACGAGTGTGCCAGCCGCATTGTAGTCGCGTTACCGTCACCATGAGAGACGCGAGGCATCCTTACGGACACCGCATTTCCTCCTTGCACAAATCGTGCGGTAGAAAAAGCTCTATTTAAAGCGTTTTTCATATTTATAAATTAATATTACTTTTCAGGAAATACAGTCTTCCGGCTTCTGACCTTTGAACGCCAAATAGAGTCACTAGGACGGATTTATCCTCCGTATATGTATCCAGTCGCGGATATATCAAGAGACGTGATTAGATCTAGCGCCAAGTATATATAGCAGTACATAAGTATTTTATGTGATTTAAGAATTCAAGCCGCTTGTGCAGTTGTTATATAACTTTCTATCGTCACATATAATCACCCGCAATCTCTATTGATGCATTTACTCTTTTTATCTTCTCTTTTTCGTAATATATATACACGGATCAATAAACCGCCAGGATATTTTGTTAAATGTATTATTTCTCGAAAATTTGGGAGTAAGAACGATTTTTGCGTTCTATTATTTGAACGCCAGAGGCAAATGCAGATTGTATGACAAATCACCTAAATGCGATGCAATGTCTTAATGCTGCTTTCGTTTCTCATGGAAGTTCGATAATTACTGGGCACTGACATATTATCAGAGTAACGCCACCCTTCGAGGAAGATTATGCGAAAGTATTGTACAAATGCATGCGAATCATGGTGCATGCAACACACGCGAGCTACGAACTGTATCCTAGCTGTGCATCGGGTTGACTAAACCCTGCTGAAGAAACGCAGTGCTGCTGCCGCCACCGCCGGTATATATACATGTCATTATTGATTTTGGCCTGGAAGTATTGTGACCCTGAGCGCGCGCGGTATGCGGAATGAGGAAAACAAGAGGAAGGAAATTCGCCGGGCAACGTACAAAATCCGCAAAATGTAAGAAAGATGTACGTAAAAAAATTCGGAAGAAATTAAAATCTTTTTATACACATGAAGAAAATTTATTATCAAAAATTACTATGTACAGCAATAACCACGGACCAAAAATTTTTATTATGTTTTACAAATGAAAAACATAGTAAAAATTTTTATAATTCCTTCATAGTCCGCGGCTACTATTGTACATAGTAATTTTTTATATAAAATTTTCTCCGTGTAGATTTAATATTTTCTTTCTATACTCTGTGCTTTGAATATTTAGAAATGTTTGCTTAAATTACGATATACTTTCACAGCAGATATCAAAATATTAAAATTCAGGATGTATATAAAATCGTGTATGTATAAAATCATAGAATTATCGATTTAAAATACACACATATTAATATATAGGCACATAAAATTTGGTACATAATTGAAATAATATGTTATCACATTTATATACATATTTAGATAACAAAAAAGTAATTATACTCAGTTAGAGTATTGCAATTTGTTACATCCGCTGCAGATTTCATTAAAATTGCTCCGTCTTAATTCCATCGAACAATAACGAAAATTTGCACTTAATTATATGCACAATCAAACATTTTTTCTTTAAAAAATCACGAATTTACGTTGCAAATTTATTATGTCGCGATACACGAAATGCAAATGCAAAACAAAACAAAAATGTGCTGTGACTATGAATTATAAATTGAATAATATAAATTGTTTGGATAATTATGAAAGTTATAATGAAATCACAGTGAAAAAAATATAATATACTTTTATAATTACTGGTTTTTTTCGGAAACATATTTTAAAAAATCCTGAAATTTTATGATACCCGGAAAAAAAATTGATATATACCGTCGTAGAAACGAGTCGATTTTATTAATTATATAATTGTATCAATAATTACAGTTCTTTTATTGTGTCGATAAGCATTGCACCAACACATTCGTAACTTTGCCTTGACTTACTTTAACAATTTGTCTTTTTGCAAATATATTAAACAAATCAACTTAAAAAAATTATATGAAAATAATATTCATGTGTACATTAAAATTATATGGAATTAAACATCATATTCTAAAAATTTATATCTTTAGAATTTTTCTTAAAATTCAATTTTTTATTTTAAATTATTTCTTGTATAATATTTTTTTCCATGTGCACATGTTTATATAATTTATATTCTAAAATTTTATAATTACGAAATTGAGAATAACAAATTGTATATATGATTTGGGCAAAATTTGAAATTCTTTACATATTTTAATAAAAATAGAGAGAAATTAAAATTATATTTCATTACTTATTTCGCACAAGATTGTTAAAGCGCAGTTTTTGGCAATTAAATTGTTAGCGGATAAAAAAGCAGCGGATGATATTAAAATTGTATATAATCTGTTATGTAAGTTAAAATCATGCAATCATGCAGAAATAATAAATTTCACTCACCGGTCGTTGTACCCTAACTAAATACGCTATCCAGCTGTATCTGAAATAATTAATACATATAAATTATTATAAATATTGTATATTTTATGTAAATTATTACATATTATTTAATTATTTTTAGTTTAATTAAAACATAATTATATGCAATACATTACGTTAATAATTATTTAACAATTTTAATATAAATATTTTAACAAATATTCTTTATAATAAATATTTTCAAACTTAATAAATCTTAATAAATATTTAAAAAATATATATATATATATATATATGCAAATAATAAATAAATGTACTCACCAGTTAGGGTATTGCAGTTCGCTCAATCCGCTGCAGCTTCCGTCTTAGAATGTATCTCTTTATCGTCGAAGAATCCCTCGAAGAATCCCTCGAAGAATGTCAGGAATGAACACTAATAACTCACACTTGATTACACACACTACTGAATGTCTAATTGCACACTTCATTTTCAAAACAATGTAAAAATCACTAATTTACATTGCGAATTTACTATTTCCGCGGTATACGATACGCAATCGCGAGATATATAAAACACACGCGACATGCATAGTACTATAGGCGGTATTATCACTTTACGGTGGTTGTTTCAACACTGTATATAGACTTAGAGTGAACGAAACGAACGATTGTCTTAGCGGTCGTGCGAGGATCATCTAATACAGATATAATCAACAACTACCATTTTGGCTACATTTTTAATATGCTACATATAAAGAAATATTGCTTTTTGATGTTTTCTTTAACAAATGTAGAAATTATTTTACGTATTTAGAACATCAAAATGTATTCATTAAAATTATAACCTCTTTGAATCCACGGTTCGACTGACAAACGATTGACGCAGCACCGTTAATCATGAATATCCGCGATAAACAATACATTCCAACAACTGCTCGATACTTTAATTGGCACTTTTGACAAACATTTGTAATAGCTATGCGTTTTTAATACAAATAAAATACTTTTAACATGGCGAACATGAATAATTACAAAGTGTTTTTGCTTTAGATTCCAAATCGACGCATCGCGAGAAACAAACTGCAGTCGATATAATAATATACGCTGGTAAAATTGCAAGTACAGATATCTACATTTTCAACAATTACTAGCAGTTAGAGTCATTGCACACTGGACACGATGGGCGATGAGTGATGAGCGGATATCCAATGAGAGCTCTATTTTTCCGAAAAAGTAGAACTCTCATTGGATATCGCTCATCGCCCATCGCGTCCAGTGTGCAAAAGCCATTACGTTTGTCTGATTCAATTACGAGCTGAATTTTTAATATGTTATATCTAGTACATATTGTTCTTCAATACTTTTGAGCAAATATAGCAATTATTTTGCGTACCTATCAACGCATACTTGCTAAGCTGTAACTAATTTGAATTCACGATCAGCCAGACAATCGGCGCATTACCGCTAATCACGAATACATCCACGTCGAGTAATACCTTCCGACAATTATCTGATACTTCTATCGGTACTTTCGATCAAAATTAGCACTCATTACACATTTTTAACAAGTAAAATATATGATTAATTGCGGAGCGTTCACGTTTTGCGTCTGACTATGCAATGTAATATGAATTGTAATGGCGGTCGGGAGTAGCGTCTGGTATCGAGGCGTCGATTGGCACAACACGCGCCATCTGCCGGCCGTTATGAAGAAAATTAACCAATCATATGTCTAGTATGAAGAACGTAGCAATATGGTGTTCTTTACATTAAACATTTGATTGGTCAATTTCTGCGGTTATGCAAGTGTCTGGATAGGCGGAAATAATGGCGGGAAATAATGGCGGGAAATATGGCGGGAAATAGCATCTAAAGGTCGATTCTGTATCATGCAATGTAGTGAAAATTACAAAAGTGAGCAAATTTATTAGGTATTGACCAATAAGATCATAGACACTTTAGTAAATTTGCTCACTTTCGTAATTTTCACTACATTGCATGATACAGAATCGATCCTCCTCGAGGCGTCAATTGGCACAACACCATCTGCAGGCTATTATAATAGTTAAAACGGCACCGTATTAGTTTAGAATGCGAAGCGCGAAAGTTTCATGAATCGTTTGTTTTATCTGTTAAAAGTGCGTCACGAGTGCAATGTTTAAGTAACCGCGTAAATATTAGTTGTGTTACATGCATATCCATATCTGACTATTTTTGTCGACTGCCAAGACAATTATTATTCATTTTGATTGCTTTGAATGCATGTATAGTATGGAGTGAATTTTGCCTAGAATTGTGTGAATGGATACTTTGTACTTATAAGATACATTTTATTTCATACTTCCTGTGTCGTGATGTAGCAAACTCGCGATATAAATCTATAATTTTTGAAAGTGAAGTGTGCGAGTTGATTGTTGTTTGATAGAGCACATAACCAAGAGCCAAGATTGCAGTATTCATGGATTCTTTAATGATACAGAGCAATCTAAAGCAGAATCTGCAATGTTTAGAACAAATTCTAAGACTTCTTCTGGTGAGTACAATCATCTATTGTTCAGTCATTATTTAAATATGTACACAATTGTAATAATTCACATATGCATACAATGGCATATTTACAATTTTTACATATATCTTGCACAAAATTATATGTGAATATTGGTGTATCTAATTATTTACTATTTTTAGTTTAATGTCAGACAAATTTTTATATATTTCACGTATAACAATACTAATTTGTAAAAAATGATGTTAATTTATTAAAAATGATGTACATTAATTAATTTCTCAGCAACTTTACTAAGAAATTAGCTTGTTGTAGAAGCTTAAAGCTATGTAGGCTGTATTTATAATTATTTACAACTTTATTAAGCAATTGTTTCTAAATGGGATATCATATAAAGTCCAACCCTTCAAACTTTTTATCCATTACTTTACTTTCGGGCATTATTATTGTTCCTTCTATTGTAAAAGCCATAATGTACGTAGCAGTTTTTCCTTGATATTCTTCGGTTTTCAATGCTACTATAACAGAATCTTGTGAACCAGGAAGGAATTTGAAAGAGGAAAAACCTCTGATTGGAATTAGATCTCCAACATGAGTAACCTGCAACAAATTTTACAATGGTTATTATAATCTATTAGATTATTAAAATATTAATAAACAATTATTAAAAATGTACTTTAATATCAACAAAATTTTCATCTGCAGTCAGCATAACATTGCAACTCATTGTTTCGTCTTTTGTCTCGTTATAACGTTCATGTGAACATCTTCTAGGCAAAAAGAACCAACTCTTATGTATGTCGCTCCAAGCTGCAGATTCATGTATCATGTAACCTGTGCAAAAAACACATATAATGATTTAATTCACACATTCATAAAATATAAATATTTGCATACCTGGATATTCGATGTTCATTGCTTGCCTTAATCGTTTGTAATAAGAAATCCAATTTACAGAATGTGTCTCACCACGTGGCGATATTACTTTTATCCATAATGGATTGTTATGTTCAAATTCACCAGATGGAGTAGTCCATTCTTTTCCCATACTGCCAACATACAATTGCTCATCTTTGATAGTTGCCCATTCAGACTTAAATCCTACAAAGAAATATAATTAAAATGAATAAGAAATCTTTCACATTACCAAAGCAATTAGTTTGTTGATTGCTACGTAACATACCTTTGTGGTTTTTGCCATTGCCATCCATCAAGATAACCCATGGGTAAACTTGATCACCTTCTATGAAGTATGTCATCCCTGTACGATCATCAAAGGACAGTAGATGGCCATCAAACGTCACTAATTCCGACAATTCCATTCCGCGTCCCTTCATAGATAACGATGATGATAATATGACAGTTCTATCATCCCAAATAACAGATAGAAATTTATTAATAGGATTCCAGTAGAGACTACCAGTTTTCATGAGACTATGCCATGTGTCTTTTTTGTCCAGCAATTTGGAGTCATGATCAAGGTCACTAACTATTGCTATTCTGTAGGTAATGCCTTTGGAGGTCCTGATTGGCGTCGAGGTAGGATATGTTCTGTTGTACTTGTAGTAGCGACACTGGGCTACAGTTTGACTCGGTGGCGAACACATGACGCTGTGTAGAAACGGATAAGAGAGCAAGATGATCGGTATGCTGAAGATAAGGATGATCAGCGCCAGAAATGGACTTTGAATGCGAAAGGTACTGTTTGCTACCCGATAAACATGGGGTGCGCGCAATGCCTGTCGCCAGTCGCGTAGATACGACATGGTCTCCTTACTGCCGTTTCTCATTCGTAGATGTATGTTGAGAGCGACCAGATGCGCGCGAGAGCGCCACGTCAGGATCGAGACATGTGCCGATTTGACATAGTTTGATAGTACTAGTCTAACCTAATATATCATTCCTGCGAGACTATGAGAGCAATGTTCTTCACCATATAACGAATCATGTGAGTTTTTTGATAGACATATGTTTAAAACTGAAATGTAATACACGTTTATAATAAATAAATTTGATTTAACTTGCAGGATAAGTCAACTGACTAGAGATTGCTAGAGATGACTGGTGACGTGTTTAGGTTAATACATTTCGTATATATCGCATCACGACTCTGACGTTATGCCATGGAACTATTAAGACCATCAGCGCTAGATAAACGTTCGTGATTATCTACTGAACCAGCCAGGAGATAAGTAAATAATTTTGATATCGACCACTTTCAATTATGTAAATCCGAAGGTTTACAGGACTGATCGATACGCGGAGTATTAATTTTACAATTAAAAATTTAATTTACTCCGATATTTCATAGGTATGTATAAATATTTATGGTACGATATTTTTTATATACTGTTCTGAAATTACACTGTTGTGGACAGAAAATTGATATTATTTTAGCATAATTAGGACAAGATATTTATAATGTTGAGTGTTAAATTTAATTAGAGGTTAGTTACAAAAGTTTGCCAGTTGTTTTTAATATTTCATTGTATTTCGATGCTAATAGTTTCTTTTTTTTAACATACTTTATTAGTTATTATTCATAAATGCAAAAGTTTCACTTTTGGTATAAAATAAATAGAAAATAATTTTGTAGAAATATGTGTAAAAATACATAAAATACCAAAATTTAATAATTTGTACTTATGTATGAAAAATAATTATATAAAGTATTTAATGATACAATTTGCTGATACAGTTCTAATTTACAGAGTATATATAATGTTCGTATCGCGCGACCGACTTTTCATAACCTTCGATTTCCTGCTGCAACCGTCCACAATGTATTTATGATAGAAATGCTCTGAGTAACGTCAACTGGTCGATATCCTGATTCAACTACTTCTGAAATGCGGTAAATATACAAAGATATGCGAGGCTATTTTTTTCAAACAAGATTACTTTTTGATTTTTAAAACAATATGTGATTGAAAAATAGATTACATTGATTTTTCTATTATTTACTTTTATAATTTGATGAATGTGTTATAATCTAATAAACGTGTTATATATAGATCAAAGAAATATCAAAATCAAATAGTATAGGTAACAAGTAGTAATTAAATATAGATAAATTATATTTAATATTATATAAAATATAAAAATTGGATAAGTGGATAAGAAGGGTAAGATCATTTATATAATGGTATATTCTGCAATATAATATATTCTGGTATATAATGATATATTTGCAATATTATAATTAGTTCGAGTATTGATACTCGAGTATTGATACTCGAGTATTGATACTCGAACTAATTATAACGCTGCAAATATGTATCAGTCTATAAATCGATTCTCAGCGTGCTAGATCTCCGCAATTACGGTAAAAGCGCATTGCGGGGGTCCATTAATTTGCGCCGCGCCGGCGACTGTAATGATGCCGAGTCTGTGTGTACACTCATATCTTCAGCATAGTTGGGGGTCGAACGGACGGAGCCCGGTGGCAAAATGAATCGAAGGGGTCGTTGGTAGATAGCGGGGGAGACGTCGGGGATGAATCGGCGAGGGCGGCAGGACCTATCGTCAGTCGCGTGACGCGTTTTCCGCTGACAACGTCGACGATATCGTATTCGCGCGATAGGAGGGCAAACCGCGGTCAGGGTAATCTCGTTGTTCCTGATACACGCTGGCGTTTTTCGCGCCTCCACGTGATCCTTCGTATGCGCTCGGCCGTTGCCGGGTGCAATCAATGCCGCCGTCGCCACGCGGTAACCTGTATTATCGATCGCGCGCATGTCGCAGTTCCGCATGGCGCGTTAAGCCGAACGCGAGCGTAACGTCGCATGATCGCGGATATGTTCACATAACTGATCGATTGCAATCACCGGCTTGATCGACTAACATCCAGGTATAAATTGAACGGCCGAGTAAGTTCAGCGTTTGTTAAGATACCGCGTGTATCTGTATCTTACACACTTTCCGACTATGATGCCGCGAGTTCCACGCTCAATTTGAATGTGGTTTCTGTATCGCAATATAACCTTGATCACCGGTTAAATCAAGGTTACATTGTTTTATTGTTGACGATCTATTCTGGTGATTAATCGAAGAAGTTGCTGAGATGATAGTTTATTATTTGTTAATTTTGGCGATATTTTTCCGCGACGAAATGGTTTCGGTTATCTCGTTCCACACAGTACGCATATTCAAAAAACATTCAGAAGTCATCCCGAAGATATCTTTGAGAGATACGATATCTTTGGGGTCCTCTGAACGTTCACCAGATATGCAATATTATGTGGGGTCTGTATCGATAATATACACGAATATTCTCATATAACAAAAGTCAATCTGTAAAAAAATTGTCGATAAAAAATGTATCACAATGTATGATTAAATTATAGTTTATTTTTTTTCAGTTCTAGATGTTATGTGACCATCGACGAAAGTGCTTCTTGAACATGTTGCGTGATCTCTAATCGATAGCATCGATAGCACCGTTGCATTTTCGAATCGTTGGTATCACTGCTGCAGTGTCGAAACAACGTTTATTTTTTACGTAGAATTCCCGCGCTTTTGTGCAATTTTACGTGTGTATTGTTCATCGTCGAGACGCAGTACGATTTCGCGGTTTCGCGAGTGCTCGAGTTGATGTTTCGTGTCGCGTGTGAACACAGCATTCATTCCTGCTCTCCTGCAACAACGCGCAAATTCGAAATGCACCGCAAGGAAATCACGAGGTTATGATATTGCAGTCGAGAATGCACTTTTTTGCGCCTGTTTGCTTTTGGATTGACTCATCAATAGTGGAATACGCTTTTTGCCGATTCTCTGAAAGGTATGATAATTAAATATGTTTAAATTTAGCAATGTTATGAATACCATGAATTGCAAGCGACGTTTGAAATCGATATAATTTCGGTAAGTTAACGTTTCAATAACGCAAAAATCATCATTTGTTGCTCATGATAAAAATACAACAAATTTTCACAGCTCACTTTTCCGTAAAAAGAAATGGATAATCCGAATTATATCAGTTTCAGGAAAAATTATACGATTTATTCTTGGAATTTGTATAATAATTGAGAAGTCACGATATGTGAAAACATTATTGTGAAAACAGCTGAACAGGTCCTTTCCATTTACTTTATTTGCGCTCATATTTCTGCATGTAATTGTTGGCTGTTCTTAATGCATTTTACCATGCACGGAATACAAGTGTGCACTTATATGGACTCCATCATATTGACTCGTATTACGGAATGGTATGCTCAGTAACACGGCATGATTACTTGCTAGTCGCGTCTTACGTCCGAGACTAGCTGACGCGTCGTACAAATCTTACAAGCGTCGTGGATCAACGTCGAAGTAATGCAACTCCACTAGGGTAGGATGGGTCGTAAAGAGATACGTTTGCATCAGGGGTGAGTTGCGGTGTCTATGCACCTCGAGTGGAATAATAATGTGCACGGAATTTTAGGCGGATTAAAAGTTGCTCTTATCGCGTTAAGAAAAAGGAAGAGAAAGAACAATGATTAATACAAATTTAATTTTGAAAATGTGAAAAGACGCATTCTATTTTATCAATTTGCATTATTATTTTAATATGATGTAAAATTTGAGATTTACTACTTACAAAATTCTATCTTTTTAATGATGTTTAATGATATAGTTAAATAATTAATAAAAGGAAAATTGTTTATTTGTTTTAATTAATAAAACAAATTAAAATTGTATATATGGTATTAAGCATTATCTATTAGGTTTTTAAGTTTTACCATAAAAGCATAATTAATCTGAATTAATTATTTTATCGCGAAAAATAATTATACCAAATTTTGGTTAATAAAAAACAAAATTTCTCTTTTATAAATAATATTTTAAAAGTCGTATAAATAACTATTTGAAACTATACTTCTTGATACTTCTTGAAACTATTAAATTTTGTGTCTAAAAAAAAAAAAACCAACCCAATAATTTTTTTTTTCTAACGTACCTTGTGAAGTATTCACTAAGGTCGACGACCTGACGCTCGGGCTAACAGTTCTCGAGTTTTGCACGACACATCTACGAGACATCGTCGTGGCACGATACACGAAAGCCAGATAAGGGGAAGAGAGAACGTGCGTTGGGGATGCGGGTGGTTTTGCGGGGGCCGAGACGACGCCGAGGGGTGGCCCGCGCGTTGACGCTCGCCCGAAACGAAGGGTAGCTCGCGCGAATATCGAAAGAAGGATGCATGACAGGGTTAGACAGAGAGAAAAAAGGAGAAGCCGACGTGTATATTTGGACGGGCTTGCTTAGGATGCACTGTGTGATTATGGTTTCATGTCGAAATACTTGTTGGTTTGAAGAAAGTATAATGTTCAGCTCAAAAATTATTTTTGAATAAGATACACAAAAAATTTGAAAATTTTTACAATTCAACTAAACATAATATTCAAGTAAATTAATAAATATACTTAATTAAATCCTATAAATTTTAGGAGTAAAATTTTAGAATACTGCTTGAACAGAAGAATTATTAAAACATCAAAAGCTGAAGAATTTTGAAAATGATTTGTTAACGTCACGAGGTTTCTTTTTTTTTTCCCCTTGAGAATTTCTTGAGATGTTTTGGGTACGTATAATTACGTACGCGTTAACACTGTCGAATGCATCCCATGTCCACAGTGCGTGGGCTATGGTGGATGGTTGGCATGCTCCCAAACCCATCGTCGATGCATTGCCATGGAAACGGCACCGCCGTTCGAGCACGCTGTGCCACATCGCCACGTTGCGCCGCTACAGAGAGGCAAGCTAGTTTCAAGGGCAGTGCTCTAACGCGCCTTAAGGAGTGCAAGGACGATCAATATCCCTTGCACCCTTATTTCCATCGCCCCCGCCCCGTTGGCTTCCAAATATTTTTTCGCGTTGGTAATCGTGTAACCGATTATACTACTACCTTTAAGCTGATCCGGAAAGCCTATTAAGTGTGCAATATGTTATATCCACCTCGTTTCTACATATATTTTTATAATGAGATATAAGTCATAAATTTTTTGTCACTTTTAAATAACTATTTACTCAATTTATGCAATAGAAAAATTAATTAATACAAAAATTTAGCAAATGCTTAAAATAGAAATTTTTTTTTACCAGGACAATGCAGTGTTTAATTAAAAATGATTTAGATATACTCCACGGGTTCTCATGAAATAATTAGAGCATTGTTAAATTAATAAAGTGACGTAATTTTGCCGATAATCAATGAAACGCCAGAATTTATGCAAAGCAAAATTGCACCAAGAATCAATCGTTGCACCATGCAAATATTCACTGAACGACAATGTGGAACATATTGAGCCAATATTTACATGATGTCAACATCGACAAAATCGATCGCCTCAAAAGTGGCACGGTTTAGTACATAGACCCTTCGTATTTCAGGAAATACGCGGAAGAGGGAGGAATGAGGAGATTCACCCGGTGACCTCGTGCCGCGCGCGGTAATGCTACTGGCAAACGGTGCCTCTATACCGACCATCGCCGGTGCTGTCGAGGAGGAGGAGTACGCACGCAGCGAGGCGAACAGCGGGCATTACGATGGATACGTTACCGATCATACTGATTTGGCCTCGGAGATCGATATTGATGAGTCCGAGTACAGGCGTGAGCTGCTTAATGACGTGAGTCATTATTTTGAACTTATGACACTATTTGTGACTTAATCATTAGTGATTATTTATCAGAATTAATTATTGATTAACTACTGATGAAAAGTAAACTTTAGAAATAACAATTTATCATTTATTAACTATCAATAAAATAATTGATTTAATTCATTGCTTTAGTGAGTCTATTATTTTGTTATTTTTTAAGACAAAATGACCAGATTTTATAGTAAAATGTTGATAGATAATTATTTTCGATCGACAGTTTTTAATTAATTATATTAATTTTAATGAATTTAATTACTAGCGTGTAAACTTTTTTTTATGTTACAGAAATGGCGAATACTCTTCGACAAGGTGTGCACACTTTCAGCGTTTATTTATTTATTTGTTTTTAATCAAGAGATCACATATAGACTTCGTTTGTCTGTTGATCCAGTTTGATCCGGAGGGTTTTGGAGAGATACCACTGGAGGACTTTTTAGTAGCATTAAGGAGTTCTGAATGGAAGGCGGAGATACCGGCAAATAAACGTGATATTCTTCTAACCAGAGCAAAAGAGTCTCATGTTGAAGCAGTGACATTTCAGGATTTCGTCAATGTGGTGAGTCTATATAATTGCATGTGTATTGCATGTATTTCTTATTCTATTTTGGAGATGAGTAGTGACATAATATTAATATTATGCATAAAAATGGTATAGTTCTGCGAACATTTGTGTAGCTTGGAAACAATTTGCCATTAATAGAATTAATATCAAAAAAAGAGTTATTATTATATATATTACAATATCATTCTAAAAGAATTATTAATGTATATATTTTATTTTATATAAAGATTAGATTTAGACGCGTTTTCATAAAGATTTATTCAGATAAAAATATTTGAGACTGCAAGTTTTTAATAATATTTTAATGTAATAAGTTATTTTTCTATATTTTTTAATAATAAAAATTAAACTTGCAAAATCAATTTTCGCTTTCTATTTCTGCTTTATTTTATTACGATACTTGCATTTACAAGTGACTCTAATATCACCTAATGCCTGATTTATACACGGATGGCAAGTTTCCCAGCACCGATGTTTAATGGGCAACGTACCTCGTATGAGCAGGCGGTTCTGCAGCGTGCTGTCTGCTCGACAGTGAAACACTCCCTCGATAGGGAAGAGTGATATAAAATTGTTTATTTGAACGCAAAAATCCTTTTTATGTTTTTGTCTCTTTTATTTAACACAGAAAATTATGATGACATTGTTATTCCAATACAAACATTTAGTAGAAAATTGATTTATTTTCTGCTAACTTAATAGAAATCTATTTTGCATTGCGGAATAGATAAAAATGTTTCGGCATATAAGTGGAATATATATATAATATATATAATAATATATATATAATATATATATATATATATATATATATATATATATATATATATATATATATACACTTTAGTTCGCAGTATTTCGGTGGTCTATCGAATCACATTACTCACTGCAGTTTCCAGTTAAATTATACGATCAATACAACAATACGAACGTATTTTAACGGAATTTATCGATATAAATTATTACGTAAAAAATGAAAAATAAATACGGTTTATACATTTTTCCTATATATACTGCCATTTAGTTAAAATGCAAGAATTTGCCGATTTAGATTAGAAATGATTAGGAAGTCAATATATTGTTTTTCGATACCTCGAGCTTTTAAAGTTTGACATTGTACGATTATCAACTTTCTGACGATCGCATAATAACGCATTTGAATTATGGTTGTAGTCAATTTTGCATTTCCAGTATGCAACGTCGTGTGGTCAACATTATCCAACGCAGTCGTATGTACGATTTCGGCTGAGACATTAGAGTAATTCGCCCGCTGCGGTTTGTGGACAACGAGGTGTGCTCATGACGCTAATTATAACGAATGTCTTCGAGTGGGCCATGCTAACACTGCGTTGTACGGTGCGCACCGAATATTGTTCAGAAACGGTGCCAAGTCGTATGTTTTAATGCAATATATAGTCCACTAAATGCAAATTTTATATTACGCATTCTGTCGGACAGAATAATCGAGGATGTTGAGAGGAACAATTTTAGTGTTTATTAATTATTTCACTCAATGCAAAAGAGATTAGTCGCGCTTCTATCAAGCTTTATTTGAAATTTTAGAGCTAAGATTTGCAGAGATTTGAATCTTTTTAAAAAGTAATTTAAAAAATGTTTTTATAAACGAAAGAGCGGCGTGAATAATAATTCATAAAATAATATTTTATCAAATGTTCAAAGTCACCTTAGCTGACTCTTTCTATTATTGGAATAGCTATTTTCCCAGCGATAGCTGTGAAGATGACGGATCGAGAAACGCATAAATTATGACAGCGAACAGTTTGCGAGCCAAGAATACATCGCATACCATCGCATAGCAATGCAAGTAACCGTTGTTGCTGCATCACTAGTTTGAGATGTCTTATTTAAATGTGTGAGACTGCCTGCCACCGGCAGACAGAAATGCTGTGTGGCAACATGTCCCAGGTTGTTTTGTGGACCACGCGAATGCTATATCACCAATTAAATCTAAACGCTCTGTGTAAGGTATTTGAATTACGTGAAGAGCTATAAAAGAAATAGATAGAATCTACATCTCGTCACTGTTATGAGAATAGTTTATATTCATTTTCAATTAACGTTATAAATAGGTTAGTGTACAACTTTTTAGTTTTTAATCAAGTAGCTAATAGTCTGAAAGAGATATTAAAAGTGGAGTTTGATTAATTTGGATATCCTCCAACGATGTGCTTCTAGATTAAATTAATACTTTCGTTTGTTTTCATTCCTCAAAGAATACGCTACAAATTTGATTTATTGGGCGCATAATCCATCAATCTGTCTCTCTCTAAAAGACTTAAGACCATCCCACTGATTATGTTTTTACTCTGAAGTCGGCTTCTTTCAGCCCGGAAATTACTTTCATCCCGCCCTCTTCCTGCCTCATTCCCCGAACTCACCCGCTCCTTGTCGGTCCTTTTTCTTTCTTTTTGGTCGTTTTATCGCAGATTTCCCGGAAGGTAATACCGTTTTATGCCTCTTACGACCCTCGTTGAACGACTATCCGGCTACAGATAATCGAGTACTTCGACTGCCAGGCAAATAAGTCGAGAGAGAGGGGGAATGCGAATCTTTGAAGATATGTCAGTTTCTGAAATATTGTATCGAAATTTGCGAATATTAAAATTTCACAAAGCGTGTTTGCTTACGATCGATATACGGTCATGTGAACGATCGATAAACTAACATATCAAAATCGGGATATAGTAGATTTTGCTAAAAATTTAGTTATAATGTTAATTGAATCTAAAGTGTAAAGGTTATTTTATTTTAGATCCATAGTCAAGAGGAAAAATAAGATTGCGAAAAATCTAATTATTTTAACAACAGAATCTAAAAATTAGATAACTTCAAACTATAAAAGCTAGAACAGCTCTAAAACTCTGTCAAGCTATCGAAATTTTTTCTTTATTGCATCTGTCATTCATTTAGAATATTTAAATAACCAACAACAAACTAATTAATTGAATTGTAAATTTTTTAATTCTTAAGTTTCCTTCTTTCGCTATTATTGGCGTCCTGTTATAATATCGGAACCTTCTTTTTTTACCGTTTATCCAAACTATTACGAAAAATCGGAATTAGTAGATCGTGTTCAGAATAAACTCTCGTTGCACCAGAATATTATTATAGTCTCTCCCCGTTTCCGCTCCAATTGCCGGCACTTTTCGCGCTTCGATTTTCACGCATGCCGCGCTTCGATTTCAAAAGTAAACCGGCGCACACCCCGTACCTCCTTCCTTCCAATCTTCTTTTATTCGCCAGCGGGCGGAATCGAGGATATATGTATGTATTCCGCCTGACTTCGTACCGGCGGCTTCCAATATTCCCGCAATATCGCGACTCCGCGAATTGTTGCTTCGCTTCCTTATTTTCCTCATGCAAATGCGTACATGCGGGATCATCGCGTGCGCACGTTTTCTTGTGATTTTACGGAATATCAGCCCCGCTGAACGAATGATAGACAAAGTTGACAGCTATGCGTAATGTCGTCTGTTTCTGTTTCTTTATTTGTTTTTCGCGAAAGACAGAATGTTTCTTCAATATTATATCAGATTATTGATATTGTGATGTTACATTCTAATCGTGCGTAATATGAGGGATAAAATGCGGTTTATTCTTAAATTAAAGAGGTTGCTGCTATTTTGGAAATAAATTTGGACGGGCTCCCTTAGAATTTCTTTCGTTTTAAAATGAAAGTATCGGAGTTGTTTGCCGTATATACACGAGAGTCAGGGGGAGCGTAAGGATAAACTCAATAAATGCTGCAAGCACGTAACGGGATCCGTTGTGCGCACAAGCGTCGTGGCGGCTGAATCTTCATTACTTCCGGTCCCAAGCACGTTTCCACGATTCTTCGTAAGATGAGGCCGGAAGAAACAACAAGCCCGACGTCGGGCGATGAACAAATCCACGAGATTGCTATGTATACATAAAGAACAATGCAGGCTCCATAAGTCTCTTTAATAGCGCCATAGTATTTATTATTTCCTTATGCCACGTCGAGATTGCGTGGATCGCGTTTGTGCGTGACTCACTTTTGAAGATGATCAAAGCTTAAATTGTTTCGAGATTACACAAAACCGCTTTGATATCGCGATGCTTGTTACGACAAACAACGAACTTTGTGAGGTACATCAAATGACAATCAAAGAATGTAAAGCTCTTTAAAAAATTTTAAATTATTGATTGGCTCAAGTTTATATTTTCCTTTATTTCTAACAAAGCTCGCTGTTTTAATTTAAACATTGAAACAATTACAATCTGATTTCACAATATTGGGAACGAATAAGATCACGTAGCGATCAGAAGGAGGAAATAACTTCGCGCGTTCTTGCTGCAGCGTCGACCGATCTCGCCACCGCGGCGATTAATGTCGAAGGTAGTGTTACGAACGCGGATAGATATTAATTTGATGGGAACCACAAGCCTCTCCGCTGCAATTCGTTACGCGCTGCATTGAAGACGTCGTATTTCCGCTAGGAGCTTCATAACCGCATTTTCCCTCTTCGTCCGTTCTTCGCTCGTTTGTAGCTCCAACTCCCGTGTAATCGAGTCACTGTCAATTATATCGCCATTTAATTGGACCAATTTCTCGAGCGAGCGAGAAATTTCGAGCGGGACGCAAATTTTCGATCTGCCGCCAGGCGAGCCACGTGACAGCCACCAGTGTAAGATAAACGAGCGAGAGAAGCAGCTCACCTAAGCAGTCTGCGGATCGCGATAACGATCCTATCCTCGTTATTTCACGCTCCTTATTATCCTCAGCACACAGTATGTCACTGTCGGATCAATTTCTACATGTGCTCGTTGCATACGCGCGAGATGTTCGGTGGCGAGAAGAATAATTTTGTGTGCGACGTGATGCACGTGTTAGCTGACTGAAATGTTGAGCGATAGATAAAAAGCATACGTGAACAACTATGTTCATTCAGCAAGAATGAATTTTTTGACTTTGGTAATTTAACAAAAATAACTACAATTGATGCAAGGGA